AAATTGTTCCTCCAACTTGCTTGTGCTGCCTTATTGTACTTTCTATGTGACCTCCTGGAGTTTCATCATCCTATTTATTGTAACTTGGACACATCAGGTTTTTTTGAAAGATCCTTTCCTCTTTCTGATAATCTTCATTATTGTCTTTAGCCATTTATTGCTTCTTTTTGCTCTTTTTCTAATCTTTATTTGACGAGTTGTACACTTACAAACTGTGTGTATACTGTGTGGTATTTTGGGAATCCATTGGGCTATTTTTAAATCATCTGTCTGATACCTACAAAGACATAATTCTCTTAGTTGATCCTTATAGATTGTTTTAACTAGCTTTCCTCACTTCCCTGTAGTTCCGTCATAAGGAAATTTTAGCAGAACTGTAGAAGATCCTGGGAAAGGGGGATGATTACACCTTTAAGGACATTGCCCCTAAAAACACCACTGCCGTTAGTACAGGACGTCTCCTGTACTAAAGGCAGTGGTGTTTTTAAGGGCAATGTCCTTCCATTAGTCATGTTTTTGAACAAGGTTCTGCTCAGTACTCAAGTTCTAACTGTTTCATAACTGAGCAGAGTTAGTGTGTGAAGAACACGACAGAACATATGCTGAAGAGGAAAAATACCTTGGGTTTTTTTTCACAGAAAAATACCGTCTACTTTATTGTACAGTCTACAACATTTAACTTCTTGTGGGCCTCTCAAATTCAGTAGCAATCACTGCTCATAAATGAGCAGTGATACAAGCTTTGATAAACAGTTTACATTGATTTCACATTGTTTTGAAGTAGGTTGTTGTAGGTGATTATCAGGGTTTAAAAAGCCAAGTATCAAATGATATCCTGAAGATTAGTAGGTATTTTGTATGTGAAACATCAACTACAGAATGTGGAAGGAAATGATTTGCCAGCTTTGCTCTACTTACCTGTGTTCAGGCATAGAGCAGAAGTTGGATAATACGCCTTCTGTGAGCACAAACACAAATTTTAAGCTTTATCCACAGCCTCAAAGTACGACTAGTATGAAGCTCTGAAGGAGCTGTTGGAGCTGTGAGAGAAGAAAGAAGTTTTATATTCTATAAATACACTAGATAGTCTGCTGTACACTTCTGAATAGTGAAGCAACTGCATATGCAAAATGACTTTTTCTTTTGTTTATCTGCGTCAAACTTTTCCCTCTAAACTAGCACACAGGTGAGATTGTTTTTCTCTTTGAAGCAAGAGTTGCCTCCTTTCCCCCCCGGTCTTCTATAGAGTAGTCGAAAATATTGTTACTGTTGGAAAAAAACCACAGTTCTTTAGGATACTAGTGCAAATGGATGTTTGCACTAGCATCTTAAATGGATGTTTAATGTTTGCAGAGTGGTTGGATGCCAGGGAAGTACAGGCACACATGATACAGGCCCGGAAGGGCAGCGGCTCACTGTCAAATCTGATGGGGGTGACTGCAGTGTCAGCTCTGACACAGTGTGCTGTTTTTCAAACAGTGCTTGGCTTCTTTCTTTATTCTTGCTCATTGCCAAGAAATGACATTGCCGACAAATGACAATTAAGGAACAAAGTGCAGAGGTTTAACAAATAATGAACTGTTTTTAATTTGCCTCATTAAGCTGGTGTTAACTACTTAAGGCCATCTGTTTAAATATAATTTCTGCACCCTAAGTTTGCCCTAGAGAGGATGTAGACTTTCATTAGAACAGCTTTTATTATTAATGTTATCTTTAGGGGCTTTAAGTTGTTGTGCAAGATATTTTATTGCTTACTGAACCAAAGTTTCCTGTAAACTAAAAGAAGTGCCACATATTTTTAAAGTGCTGGCTGCTGCCATAACTGTGTTCTTGGGAACCGCTGCTACTTGCTTAGAACAGGGCTTCTTGGGGAGTATTTGGAACCATTATCTACATCCAGGTTGGAGAAAGGAGAACGAGCTATGGGAATGCCTAAGATCTGTGTTACCTTCTTCAGACTAAAGCTGCTGATTTCGAAAATAGAAGAGCTGCCATGTCTCAGCCATAACTGGGGAGTGGGAACCCTATGTCTGGGCCCTGAGGAGCTAAGCTGATTTATCTGTCAGATTTGTAAAGAAACAATTCCACTTACAAAGAACAAATTATCAGAGGCCACAAATATTCTCTCCTATATCAGACTGAGATGCTTTGTCACTTCAATGAGATGCCATGTACTTGCTCAGTTTCTTTGACCTGCTATATATTATTGTGGTTTGCTCTTACATAGTTGGTGAGGTCTTCTTCAGAGGAAGCAGCTTTTCAGCTGTGAGATGATTGATGATAGGAAAAATATATTTGGAGTGAAAACTGGCTTTAGAAGTCTTAGGTAATGATAATGATGGAATTTAAAAGAAGGTCTCACTCCTACAGCCTGTGGGAAAGAGGTGAATGTGATTTTTGGATTTTCTCAATTATGTCTTTGTTAAGGAATCTTTAATTTTTTGTTGTTGTTGTAGGTGAGAGCAAATTATCAAAATCCTGAAATCTGTTATTAAAAGTATTTATATTTCAGTTATTTGTGACTGTAGTCCTTACGCAGATTGCAAGAAATGCTGCTTTAGCAATACCTCCTGGATCTAGAACACCTGAAGAAGGTACTGCCAGAGATGTAGTTAATGCAGCTGTGGAAGTTGTAAACTTGCCATTCTTAAACCTCCGTTCAGCTGCTGCTGTCACCTCATTATATCCTGACTTCTTTCTTGTGGGAAAGTAGTCAGGAAAATAGAAAGGGATGCATCTGGATCAGAGCATAAATGCACTAAAGTCCCTTGAAATACTGTCTCATCTGTTATGAACTGACTTGGTCCATGATGTCCATCTTCTCCTGCATTTGTGACCCCCCAAAATGTTTCATCACTTTTCTGCTACCAAAGAGAATGACCTGAATCAGTTTGCTCTGAAATGTCTACCCTCTGCTCTGTCTGTGGAGAGTAGCAACTGAAGAGTGAGAGAGCTCAGTGTCTAATGATTGAGGAGACGTGAGACCTCTGTGTAGTTCAAGAGGTGGAGGAAGGCAGGTGAAATGGAAAAAAAAATAAAACCAAAAACATTATGCAGCCAATACCTGCGAGGACCTCAGGAGCTGTGGAGCCCTGTTATGTTTGCTTCTTGCTTGGGAGGAGAATATGCACCTCTGAAAGGCTTGCACTGCTCTGCTCTCTGAACACATGTAGGCACAGAAAAGGCTGTCAAAAGGACGGTTCTGAGTCATGTGTGTCTCACTGCTCCTATTTCCTTTTTACCCTCTACTTCCATCTAAACCCAGAAGGAATGTAGAGGAGGAGAAGAGCTGCTGACAGGTGAGAAATGCAGTTTTTGAATGACTTAAGAAGTGAAGTAGTCTTTCTAATAATTGACTTTAAAAGTTCACATGGAGCATGGCTGCCTTAGTTTAATAAATGTACCTTTTCCACTCATTCTGCTGCTCTTTCATGCCCTGAAACAAGCTGGAGCTGCTGCAAGCTTGCGGCTCGGCAACCCCATCCTGGTTGGGAACTGGATGTATCTTTGAAAGGCTTCTTGCAGAGGAGTCATGCTGACAACAGTCTCTACTAAAGTGACCGAATTCAATTAGGCAAGAGAGAGCAGCTTAACAGAAAAGGTTTAAACTGTATCTGTTGTGAAGACCTCTAGTGTTGACATGAGTTATAGTTTTGTGATCATTTTTTTTTCTGGAAACTATGGACTCAGTTCATGCGTTTATGCAAGAATGTAATTGTTCATTCAAAGAATAACTTCTAGCTCTAGCACTTGTGAAAGAAAACGACTTGAGACCTGAGTACCCTCTTACAGGTTAAAGTTAGAAGATTATATTATTATAAGGTGCTTTTAAACAAAGACCTTCTATGGACTTAAATCACTGACTAGCTGGTTTTGGCAAGGCTGTCTAAGAAATTCTGGGGTGTAAGAAAAGGATATGAAGGTATTTTCTCCAAATTGCAACCTGAAAACAAATGGCAAAGTGGCAAAGCTAAAGGCTTTTCACTGCTCCTGCTCTGTGTTTAGAAATCCTTTGGTATGTTCCCTTTTACATCTTCATTACAGAAATTCTATGGATAATATCACTTTTTTGAGGAACCTTGAAAAGGGAAATATCATACTTTTTTTTTTTCCCCCCCCCCCCCCCCCCCCCCCACCAGAAAATAAAAGGAAGTTTCATGACTGCTAGAAACCATGCTTGGGGCAGTGAATTTCTGGACATTTTCACAGAATTGATCTTAACCATTTTGTTTGCCTACATTCAGCAGACTCTGATTGTTCTGCTGCCAGTGTTTTGGGCTGTAGTCCTGGGAAAGGAAAGTTTATATGCTTTCATGGTCAAAGAGACCAGTAAGTTAAAGAGACTATGCTACTTTTTGAAAGAAGTATATGCTGAAGGAGTACTTACCTTTGGTTGGAAGAGGAGTCATAGGGATTGCATCAGGCCATCAGTAGTAGGTTCTGGATGTGAATGTGTCTGTCACCCAGACAGAAAACACAGGTAGTTCTCTTGTCTGTCAACACAGAGTAATAATGATACTGCTTGCAAAAGGTGACCTTTGGAAGGAAGGAAATAATATGCCAAAAAGGAAATCATGTATTGAGTGATGTAGTTGATTTGGAGCTGCAATCTAGTAGAAAACAAAAACCCAGAAAATAGCAGCAAAACAATTAAATTCTGTGAAAGGAATTAAATACATAGCTTAAATCAATTTTGTGATGTGAGGGACATCCTTATTGTACGAACAATGCAGAATGACAAATAATGAAAATGAATATTGGAATATTGTCCTGCCTGCTAGGGGCCAGGTTCCAAGCATGTGAAGGAAGTTTGGAGTACACAGTACAGCGTTGTCCTACTAAACAGGCTTAGAGGACTGATATTTTTACAATGGTGAACCTTAAAACTGTCAGGTTTAATTTTGAATAAATTCAAGGTGTAACAACTTGATTACAAATAATGTAGCGATTACAAATTATGTAACAGCTTCAATATTTTTTCCACTCTTTCTCTTCTGCAGATCACACGTCTGTGGGCGGGCTGGGAGACAGTTTTTATGAATATTTATTGAAAGCCTGGCTTATGTCAGACAAGACGGACGTGGAGGCAAGAAAAATGTATGACGACGCAATTGAGGTGATTATAATTCATTGAGTTTACCAGCCTAATGGAACTTAAAAAACATTTTTGATAAGTAGAGACAAAAGAAGACACAGGAGTTGTTTTGATTATGTAAGTTTTAAGAAACAGAGTGATGAACATGACTAGTTTAACTTGAGCACTTCAAAAAGTGTTATTGTGATGCAAATTATTGTGCTAAAAGCAACTTGTCCAGATGGGTATAACATGGAGACACAACGATGTGCAAAACAATCCATTCATTTTTAGCGAGTGTTCTGAATCATTCCAGGAGTGGAGTTTTTGGAATATCTTATTCTTTAAATTATTTTCTAACACATTCAGATGTTGTATACAACATTTGGGCAGGAGTCTTACTGAACTTTATACTGCCCAACTGTTGATTTCTCAGTTCCTCCCCCCCGTCCCCAGGCATGCTCTGTCATTAGGCTCCCTTGCACCCATATGCCTGTGCTACGGTTAAGACTCTGGCATATGAGGAGAGTAATAAGCTAGTTTTACTCTAGTCTAGTACCAACAGCAGTAGGGCATTAGATTGTATAATCCTGTCTCAGCACAGATGCGTGCTTGGTTCTGCCTGGTTCCATGCTCTATTCGTGCACAGCATATTTCTCTCAAAGCAAACTTTAAAGCTTAATTCTGGTGCAAGTTTGTATCAGTCTCCTAAAGCAAAATGGCAGTTCCTGAAGGTCTCAAAATATGTATATACTATCTATAGAAAATGAAATTTCTAGACCATACTGCTTTGAAACTGTAATAGATCTTATTTCTGACCTGAATTTCAATGGCTTTGACTTTCAGCTACTTGGATTTTTCCTTTTCCACATTAAAGAACAGTTGCTTTTAAGAGGTAACTGTGTCATATAGATAGTTACTAATAGAGGTTTGATAAGTAGCTAAGGTTCTTTTCTCCAGAAGAGAAACAGATTATTTCTTTTGTGTCACAATATAAAACAGTTCTTTCAGATTTTGAATTATTTTTAAGCTCTTCAACGTGGAGACAAGACTTGGATACTGTGTTTCTCTAACAGTTCTGATAATGCTCTAATGTGTCATCTCCTGATTGCTCTCAGTATGTTCCTAGTTTCTCAGTCAGGGGTTGTGTTTGCACTTTTAACCTTTGCATTACACTATCATCTATTTTTCAGTTGGTTATGCTCTGAAGTTGGTTTATAATCTTTTTGATTTACCACTATCTGACTACTGTGACTTATATTCCCAATTCCTTGCTGTATGACCTCGACTTATCTCTATTAAGAGACAATTGTTCATGTAAAACACATTTTATAACTTGTTCTGAATGATTTTTACAGGACTGACTTTTCCTTTATCATCTACATAACATATTAGCACTTTTTTTCTTGCAGATCATTGATAGAAATGCTGCATAACACAGAATAAAAATATCTTTGCAGAATCTTCATGGAAGGAGGTTTTTTCGCATTTTTTATTTTACTTACAACTCTTTCAGTGAGCCAGTTTTTAATCCACTTCATATGTGCTTGCTTTAGGACAAGTATTTTGTACAAAAGCAAGGAAGTTCCTTTTAGACATTTAAGGATATCAGAGTTATTTTGACAATCAAATATTTAATTTTAAATAAATTTGCTTATTTAATTTTGACTATTTCAATGGCCTTTTAAAACACTGTTACACCGTCAACTGTTTCACAGTCATTTTGAACATCCTTAGTTTTATAGGCTTTACTAAAAGTCAACAACACTATTCAGATAGTTGTTTTCTTCTAGTAGTCTTTGATACAATTTATTTGATATTATGGGTTTAAAATATAGGAGTTGTTTAACCTACTTTATATTTGTTGTTGAAATATTCTTTCCAGTTCTTAAATTGTGGGCACTTGAATGTTAGAGAATAGAGAACTTTTGTTTTCATTCCCTTCCTTGTAAGCCTACTCTTGCAAACAATTTTAAGTAGGTAAGAGGTCGTCTCTGCATCTGAATAGAACCATAGTAACATTTAAAGGAACCAGGAGGAGACACTGTGGATATGAGGGAGAAGCTGAGCTGCTCCCATTCTCAGTGTGATGAGACCTGGAGTTCAAGCATCAGATGGTCTCTTCTTTGGCTTTCTCCCGCCTAAGCTCTACCTGGACATATCAACCTACACGAGCTATACTGATTTACACGTTCTAGAAGATCCTTCTGCCCCAGGATTTGCTTTTATCTCAAATCCTACTTGACATTGGAAAATATGTTTAAAAACAATAAGCAAGATTTGCCTGTAGTTAATTGCATTCTAAATTTTTCAATTAAATACCCCAAATATTTTTAAAAGCCCATTCCTATCCTGTTCTGTTGCTATTGCTCGTAAGTTAGGTCTCCCTTTATAGCTGACATTTCTTATTCTTTGGTTTTGAGAACTTTGAGCAAAAGCTTTTTATGTTATTTATGCAAGCAGAACGGGAAAGCTGTAAAACACACTTTCTTCCCATACATAGCACAGAACTGGAATTGTTCTCAGCACACAAATTTAAAAATAATTCTCTGTTCAACCACACCTAATTCTTTTAGCTATTACAGGAGGAAGAGTGGAAGATACCACCATTGCACTCTCACTCTTAAGTCTTGCAGTAGGTTGTGATATCCCATCTCTTGGAAATTTTAAGAGGAGGAAAGAGGACAGATGTCCTAATTTCAGATTTTTCAGATGTCCTAATTTCCAACATGACATGTAAGTCTTAGCCAAGCCATTCTCTACTTTAACAAGAATACAACACGTTCTGCATCCACAACCTCAAAATGCTCCTGTAACATTAATGTAGTGATTTGCTGTGAAGTGCATTTTTTTCCATGTCTCAGTATGTAGACGTACAGCTGCAGCCAAGAGCTAGATAGAAAATTGTTGAGAATTTTTTCTGTAGTGATTAATATTGAGGATGGGCCTCTTGCTTTGCTTCCAGTGTTGTCATACTGAACTCTGGTAGTGCTGTCTGGCCAGCCCATTTTTTGTGTCATATCTTCTTCTCATGACAGCTGGAAGTATGGATGCCTCCTTTATTCTTGTGGTTAAGTGACTCCTATGGCTTATTCCTCTCAAGTTCTTGGCTGCAGCCTTGATTTCTGAGCAACCTAATCTGTCAGATTCACAAATTTATCTCCATTCTTTGCTTCTTCAGAGCATTAGATAGCTGAAGGAAGGATTCAGCAGTGTATTTGACTATTACAACAGAGCAAGTACTGCTACTGTTCTTTGGGTTTGTTTTTTTTTTTTGGAGTCATAGAATAATGGAAAGTATGAAGGTCAGATAAAGAAGAACATGCTGTTTGCATGTCTCAGATTTGTTTCTGACACTTTGCAGGCTATCAAAGCTGTTGTTTCATCAGTTAATTTCATGATGTGTTTTCATGATGGGAAATGAATGTTTTCTTTACAAGCTTAAGTATATGTGTCTACTTCAGTGTATATATATTTATGGTCAAGCTGAATGCTTTATAGTAGCTATTTTATTAGAGTGTTTTGTGACACCATGCATCAAGCCCAGGATAAAAATGTCAGGTCTGCTCCAACCTCCTTGAGTTTTTCTTATCTGCTAGGAACAGCGTTCCCAGCAGTGCCCAGCCATTCCCCCTTAATTGCTGTAAATATTAACTATCTGTTTTTATACAGTTAGCAAGCAATAGGTTATTAAATAATATAGCATTTTGAGAGGTTTACACTTGCTTTTTTTTTTTTTTTTTGAGTATGCTGCCTTTTCTCCCTTTTTAAGATGGTACTTAGTTATTAACTAGCCAGCAGAACTTAATTTCCAGATTTCAAAAACTATCCTTGTACAAAGCAGTGATGTTCAAGTGCAGAAGATATATTCTCTGTTCAGAAAAGGGGCACTGCAGCTAGGCAGTATTCTCCAGTAGTAGCCTGAAACTACAGAGTGCAGGAATAGCTCATGGAGAAATATATAAATCTGACTTTTGCTGGCTTCACTAGTGTCAACCATAATTTTGCACCCCTGAAACTGTTCCTGCAGCTTTTTGATACTCAACAGTTATGAAATTGTAGAAAGATAGGCTATGATTCAAAAGAGAAGGGAATTCTACACAACTTTCAGACAAAAATGTTTTCCTCCAGTAAATAATCCAAACCTTCTAAAGTGTGTTTGCTCCTAATAATAAAAAGACACTTTGCTCTCAACTTGTTCCTTAACTTGTGTCTACCATGTGATAAAAAAATTATTGTCATAGTCTAGGATAATTGAATCAAGAGAGCTCATGCTTCAGATTTCAGTATCATCTTCAGCAGCGCAGTTTACGGCAGTACCCATCTTTTCCTGACAAGTACCTTCAGGACAAATGAGGCTTGTGCTGTTAATCAGTTGTCTATCAGAGATAACTGTCTATTGGTTATCTCTGTGCGCTCCTCAGTGGATACTGCCATAGACACAAACTTCACTTTCCAAAATGGTGGAATTAGTGAGGAGGTGGCAATGCAGACCACCCTTCCCTTCCCTTCCCTTCCCCTCCCCTCCCCTCCCCTCCCCTTCCCATGCACACACTCAGCCAGAGTGGTTGAGTTGACCTGAGTCACCAGAGGATGGCAGAGAAACTTTGCTATCAAAACGATGACGCAGTCTGGAGCTAATGTAAGGCACAGGGCCCTGCTGATATCAGTACAGGCCTCTCTCTGTAAGCTACTTCATTGGCTTCTAGCAGGTACAGTCCCCTTGATCTTACAGGCTGTGCAAGAAAGACTAGACTAAAAAGTTCTAAGGCTTTCATTTGTCCATTTCATTGCCACAAAGACAAAAGACAGACCCTGCTTTTTATTTAGAAGGAAAAGCTATTTCACTGTCCATATGAATTGTAAATTGTATACTAACTAATTTGTGTACTACTTGAGTCTGTATTGTAGCCATCTGTGTAGATAGCAAAGGCACAACTTTCTGGACAGACATGACCTCCCCATCTCAGGTAACTGGTTATGTGAGATTCCCTGGCTGGATATTCTCCGTATATCTGTGTTTAGTACCTATAGTGCAAAATACAGCTGTGCTCCTTCTATTCTGGGGTGCAGTTTGTTTTCAGCACCTGAAAAATAATGGAGAGGAGCAGTAATTCACTTCTCTAATAGATCGTGTGGATGGGAAAATAAGCAGCAAATGCCACTTATCCCACTTAAATACTCTATTCCAGTCAGTGTTGGAGTACTCTGACCAGTAATAGATTCTGCACTTTAGGGAAGGTGGGAACCCCTCGAATAGCTATGTGCTGAAGTACAAAATAGATTTCTAGGAGAAGATGGGAATAATGTCTGTATTATAAATATGATAACCATAATGGACTTGAACTGTAGCAGGAAAGATTCTAGTTATACAATAAGAGAAACTATCTAATGTTAAATCTATTTAACATTAAACATTATTTAATATTGGGGGAAGTTGTGATCCTGTCACATATAAATGTACTATCTTCATGTGGTTTGCAAACTTTGGATCAACTGCTTTCCTTCCCACTGCTGGAAGAATACCCAGTTGCACATCACAAGCAGCAGATATATTGCCACAATTGTGCAAAGAAAAAGTAACAGTTACTTAGTCTATAAAATAATTGTGCTTTTTTTTTTTGTGCACAGTTGCCCTGACCCTTAGCTCTCCTTTTGCAGTTTTTAAAGCTGCTAGGGGGCTGGAGCATTTCTCTCTCATTCTGCTAAAGGCTGAGCATACGGGTGTTGCCTTAACATACATTGCTGACTGAAATGGGAATATTTTCTGAGTATGCGGAGACAGTAGTGTAGAACAAATAGATACTTCTCAGACTTAGCATGTAGCCAAACAGCTGTTTAATCCATACAATGTGTGCTTTGTAGCTGAATTCTTAGCTAAAATTACAATGTTATTTATGTTGTGACTTTAGTATAAAAAGCCTAATTAGCACAATTAAGCATTCAGGATATTTTGTGGAGTACATTGAAATTATTTAAATGTAACTGTTTGTTACTGTGCTGCTCAGAAATAAACATGGGAGAAGAATAAAATTTTTGTTTTGAAAACAGTATTTTTATTCTTTGAAGAAGAGTTAACATGTAAGATTTATGTTTCAAACACTATTTGAAAGTTCTCTCAATCTTCTTGTAGGCCATAGAAAAGCATCTCATCAGAAAGTCCAATGGAGGATTGACTTTCATTGGGGAATGGAAGAATGGGCACCTTGAAAGAAAGATGGGCCATTTGACCTGTTTTGCAGGGGGAATGTTTGCCCTTGGAGCAGACGGTTCCAGAGATGATAAAGCTGGACATTATTTGCAACTTGGAGCTGAAATTGCACACACGTGTCATGAATCATATGACAGGACAAGTAAGACACTTTGCTAATCTGCCTATTTCAGTAGTTGAAATACAGGAATTATTTAAAAGGTTTGTAATGGACCTATTTCTTGTCTCCCCTGCGCTGTTTTTATATAAGCACTATTTTCCCCACTTCCAAGTATTCGCTTCTGATTTACGTTATGGTGAGTAGTTGAAGAACTACACTTTATATAGTTCCTTCCCTGATGTTTATGCCTACCTTTGCATCAGTCGGCTGTGATACACTGTGTGAGTACAGGAAGGAGAGAAATGTATACTCTTGTCTTTCGGATATTTTTCATTTCAAATATAACTGTTCTTGCAGTTATGTGGAGTGAGAGATTTGTAAACACAATTTATACTCTTTTTAATAGTAGGGCATTCTGGGTAAGTACAATGTGCAATTAAACTAGAAAAGACAGAAATTAGTATGTGAATTGTAAATTGGCCAAAGACCTGATTGACAAGGAAGCAATGTCAGGCTTTACTCCTGGGCTGCAAGTTTCTCAAGTTCACAGTCTTTTGGACCAGGCTTATTTTATGTCTTTAGTGCTGATCTTGGTGCATAAAGTTTGAGTGTGTTGATTACACTCACTTTGGCTGCAAAGTCAGAAGGCATTATGAAATCAGATCACTCTCTGAATAACAAGCAGGAAGACCTTGAGACCTTGGCTATCAGAAATAATGCTTTTAACAGAGAAAAAAGGAAGTTTCTTTTCTCTAAACTACAAGTTTTCGAGTTGGAAAACAGAGGAAGAAAAAGATCTGAAAATGCAATTTGCTTATGGAATGATGAAGCAATTTCATATGGCTTTGAAAAATGTCAGTGCAGTCCTAATCTGTATCAGCTGGGAATTTTCAATAGAGATAAGAGAATATTAACACTACTGTAGAAGACACGTATAATTTGTCATCCAGTATAATCTGAATTCCAAGCAAAATGAATGCCGAGAAGAACCAAGAGCATGATTAAAGTAATAGAGCTTTTATCTTATAGTGGGAAAGTAAGAGAGGTTGGTCTCCCCAGATTAGAAGAATAATGTTGAAGAAGGGGATAAATTTGCTATTTATATCAGAGGGTAAACACTGAAGAAGAAATAGGCTCTTTTAAGATAATAAACAACAAAGTTGTACCAAGAACAAGAATTTATAAGCTAGCTCCGAGTAACTGTAGATGGGGAACTAGAAGTGACTTTGAGTAGCCATCAGAAAAGTGAGCTTCTGAAATAACTTTCTAGTAGAGGTATTGAGAGCTAAAAATAGAATTTTAGCTCTCAAAGATAGAGGATTCATGGTTCATGCAAAGTTTGCATAATACCAGGGTAACATTAGCTGTGATTTTAAAGAATTAGGTTTGTTGGTCTTTGAGGGATACCTGTTTAGCAGCAGCATAAAAAAGGAAGAAAAAATAATATTAGGATGCTTTATGGAAAAGATAGGAAATAATATTAAAACTATTGCTGCATTGTAAAAAAAAGAAATGCATCAAAATTTAGTTTCAGACATTTAAAGAATACTACATTTACTGTTTTTTATGCAGCCCTGATTTTATTTCTTTAGGTGTTTATTCTGTACCCTAAATAAGTCAAAAACCAGGGGGATATAAATTTCAATTTCATATTTAAAGACTGTATAATAATGCACATGCCAGAAACAGACTGAGATTTGTACAGACAGCTCTAAATTGGGAATGTCCTAGTTTTCTTCTTCACAGTCATGCCGACTCAGTAATACAGATTTTTTATCTCGGCTGTTCTTTTTTTTTTTTTTTTTTTTTTTTAGGTTTTTTTTCCCAAAGAAAATAAATATGCAAAATATCGATCTCCTTGTTGGGCATTAGCATCAGGTTTTGATGCAGAGTTTCATGCTTATGTGAGAGAACTAGCTAATTGTTGAAAAGGGCTCTCTTTCTGGTGCAGATAGTCATCCTGGTTTAGCTGCTAGATTTATGATTCAGTCAGCAGAAGGGGAGAACCTGGTCTTCTCACTCTCGTATAGATGTAGGAGAACTTCTACCCTGCATAGTGTCACCAGAGGAGACAGCCATATGCTTAGTCTTTATCTTCAGGATAGAAAGCTGTCTTCAGGTAGAATCAGAGCTTATTTTTTCCTATTCTTTTAAGGGTTAGTCATAATAAATATTAGTACAGTCTTACAGATTTTAATGTCAAATTATTACTTTATGAATATTTCCTATCTAAATTTCCTTAAAGACTGAGCATGAAAAAAGAAAAATTGCTATTTTAAGAGGTTGAGGGCCAGCAAAATTGAAATGAAATTTCACAGAAAAACAACATTTCTGGAAATGGAAAAGAATGCCCAAATGTTGGCAACCTATTGCAAATATTGAGATATGAAAGCTTGTTTCAAAAAAAAATATAATACTGAAAGTATCAAGCAAACTAAATACTGGATTTGCTCCTATTTCTGCTTAGAACACCATTAACATAAATGTAGTGGAATAACATTTCCTGAAATTATTGTTTTAAATCTTATATTCAAGTGGAAGTAGTTCTCGCAAACAGAAACTTAACAATTTTAGGGCCAATTTTGGACTGTGTTATTCTAGATACATTCCACTTGAGTACTTTTACTCTGGGCATTTTTTACCAGTGTACCAGCAAAATGCTCTTGCATGCAATGACAGTCAACATATCTGTTCAACCTTTAGGTGATTTTATGCCATGATCCTTGTTGGCTTAAGGCTTTTTATCTATACATTTTTTTAAAGCAGTAATACCTTCTGCTCAGTTGCTTCCCTCCCTCATGCAGGATCCTATGTCTTTAGGCAAACTCAGTCACCCTGTATGCAACAGAGCATTTACGGTGGCTTCATATTTCTTCAGAAAAACGAGACCTTTCTTTGGTCTTTTTTTTTGTTTACTTACCTTTTGGACTGCTGTAATCACAATCAGTGTGAGTAGTCATCTGTTGAAATACGATTGCCCAGACTGTCATCGGATCTAAGACCATCTCTATGGTCCAGTGGATGTCGTTGTTTCTGCTGCTGGCCTCAGAAATCCTTGAGATGAGAGAGACAGGATATATGAATCCTTGTCCCCTCTCTGATTTCTGTCAAATATTCCGTTGCCATCTGGTTTGTTTTTTTTTTTTCCAGCAGTAACAGATGGAAGAGTACTGTGTACTACAGGAATCCCCCACAAGTTTAACTGGGATGTAGTGCTCCCAGGCATCTTCTAACATGTTCCCCAACTCAAGTATTTCATTTAGAGTTCCCAGATTGATAAAGAAAAGGTATTTCTTTTGCTACAAATTATTTATGGCATTATTACCATCACTACAGGTAAAAGACTGAGTATTTTTCGGCATTTCTCAACACTATTGAAAGTGAGGCAACTTTCACTTTCATCATGCCATCACCTTTTGTAAGGTTTGTTGTTGGAATGATCGTATGTCAAGCCTCCCAACCTATGAATAAGGCAAGTCTCAGATCTGTGAGGCTGCCTTAGAGATGCCACAGCTTTATGCACCTGTGTCTCTTGCAGATCAAACAAAAGATATTCTGTCTCAACCTACAATACTCAATTTTTGTTTCGTGACCCATTATCACTGGTAGTTGCTTGGTCAGGACCAGTCAGCATTAGGATGTGATTTTTTTTCAGGAGTAGATATGGGAAGGGATGATAACCCATTTTGGACTTACAGGGTGTATATGTGTTCATACATAGGCTCAGTTCAGGTTAGTGATGCTGGAGATAATCCCAACTCTTCAAAGAGGAGAAAGACTTTGGTGTCTGGAATTTAAGGGTACTTCATTCAGTATGTCAGTGAAAACATCTAACAGTAGATATTTACATTTTGCGGTAGACACGCAGCAATTTAAAATTCAGTTTATTCTTTTTTGATAAGAAAACTGACCATGATCACCTTTTAGGTTTAGTTCGACTTCTTTATCTAGGGATGGCTAAACTAAGTCTAAACGCTTTCATTTGCTGGGAACAAATCACTTCCAGACTTAATCCTTTGAGTGGTACATCTGGTTTTGCTGAGGCTTTGCTGTCCTATGGACGTTATTTTTAAAGGAAGCAAGTTGCATGGCCTAAATGGACTGCAGTCTGTCTACATGGCAGCTGTCACCTACATGGCGGATGAAAGTTTCAGCGTATTTCCATATGCAACTGCTTTCCATGCTGCATTTTTTTTCTCTATGCTGTAACCTGTTCATTAGACTGTTACTGCAGTTATCCGAAGGCTGCAGTTGTATGACAGAAGATTTTGAGATTTATCTGTAGTCCTACAAACTGTGTTATATGGAGAGAAAACTGAAGGAACTAAAGATATGGGGCATGCTTTGGTCTGCACGCCCAAGTACTGGCGTAGCCCAAGAAATATTGCTGTCAACGGTAAGGACGAAAGATGCTAGTTTTGTGTACTTATAGTGCAAGATTTATCAAAGTTTAAACTCCCATGTAGATTGCAAATCTTGGACTTGTCTAGTTACTAGCGTACTAGTTTTCTGTTTTATATCCTTAATGTGCACCAATGAGAAAACGGGAAAGGCATAAAAAAAAAGTAACGTGATATTCATGGATGGTAATGAAAAAATGGTGATGAAAAAAAGATGTCCAAAGAAACTGAGCCAGAAATACCAGTAATAAATTAATCTGAAGAACTATCTGTCATAGGTATCAGATAAGTTAGATTAATAACTAATTATCCTGATTCACAGTCCATAGAATTTTAAGTAAAACATACAAACCCTTATACATAAGAATTTTTCCAGTCATTAGATGATAGTATGTAAAATAAGTATCATTCACAGACAAATTATTTTTTAATAGAAATTCACTGCAAATCTTTAAAGCTTCCGATAAGAACTGTTATCAGAATCTGGGTACAATATTAGCTGGTCTTACACACGTGACAATTCCAGTGCAGAAAAAGAACAGATGAATGAGGTTTCAGCTCAGGCATTGTCAAAGGGTGAGCAGATGCTGTCTCTGTCCAAAGACTCACAGTAAAGCAGTTTAAATGGGCACAGATGATAGAAATAACTACTTGTTTTCTAAGGAAGTATAAAATGACTTTGTACATTGATGGAGTAGTTTAGGGAGCCTCAAACCTCCTCTCTCCAGATATTTTGGAGGGTCTCTTCCTCAAGTTTTGTATGAGCTTAGCTAGACCATCTCTGTAATAATGGCATGCTGTGATAATGATAATGCAGTCCTGATTCCACACAAAAATTCCAGTGTGGTTGTCACGCTGCAGGGCTCACACATCCTCTGGTTATGCCATGGTGTAATTTTTTGGTGTACTTGCCACACAATGTTCCATCTACACTAGAAGTAGATATAAAGGGTTAAAGATTTAATGCACCGTCATGCTTCAAAGCAGAAGGTGTAGCAGTTTCTGTTTGTGAGGCATCACTAGACCTGCATGAAATACAACTATTTTGGGGGAAAAGAGTGTTCCAAGTCATACAGATTACTTGACCTCCAAAAGGCTTTTTCGCAAGTTCTTTGTCAAAGACTTTCAAGGGAATTGCACGTAGTGTAGTATTTGACAATACTTGCATAGATTTTTTGGAAAGAATTTGTGTTTAACAAATAAGGTAGGGATAAATAGTTAACTCTTGCAATGGAAGATGGTTAATCAGTGGTGGTTAGTATATTCATAAATGATCAGGAAAAGGGCATGAACAGTGAGGTGAGTGTTCTGCTGATGATAGTAATGAGGAAAAAAAAAAACCCACAATTCATGGTAGCAAAGATGAAAGAAAAATAAAAAATACAGGAGAACCTTATGAAGCTGAGTAATATGTCAGTAAACCTGACATATATAATGATGAGCTCTTAACTGACTAATACAACCGAGGAAAGAGCTCTTGAGATTATGAAAATAGCTCGGTAGCAGTCAGAATAAACAAAAGGCGAAAGACCAAAATAGAAGGCATGATTATACTGCTGTTAATCCATGATTTACCCACACCCTTAGTGCTATGTTCAGGTTGGTCCTCATTTTTCAAAAAGAATATAGCAGAATTGGAAGAGGTGCAGAGGAGGGCCTTAATGAACTGCTTCCATGCAAGGAACAACTGATTTGGCTAGTGTTCTGCAGGCTGGAAAAGAGTTAATTTTCATAGAATATAACAGAGGTTTGCAAAGGCATAAAGGGGTTGGAGAGGCTGAGCAGGGATCACTTGTTCACTCTCTTCAACATAGAGCTGGAGACTGCTAGTCTAGTAGGCACTAAACAGAAATTAACCTCCCCCTCCAAAAAAAAAAAAAAAGTTCTACGCAGAAGAGGTAGTAGAGATGTGAAACTGTACCAGTGAATATTTTGGATGCTTAAGTTTTGCATGCATAAGGGAATGCCAAATTAAGTACTTGAAAAAGAAATCCATTAAGAATTACTGACTATGTAAAAAATGTACTTTAGGTTTGGAGAACCCTTCAGCTGATAATGAGACTGGTGGAGGATCTGGAAAGGTGTTATGTGATGCGATGGGTGCTTATCTGCTTCTTACTCTTCCCTAAACTTATTTTGACTGCTGTTGAAGAAATTATACTGGACTAGACAGAACGATCAGTTATACCAATATGGCTATTCTTAAGTTTCTTCTGGGAAATATTTCCCAGAAGATATTAATACTTCCCAGAAATATTTATAATCATTTTCAGTGAAATGGGTAAAAGCATGCATTTTCAAATACACATCATAGACATTTCCTCATGGGGTTTTCCTACCAAGTACACATCTAAAGCATATTCTTTTGTTTCTCTGTTTATGTGCAGAACCCCACTCTCTTGGAACAAAAAGAAAAAAAATAGTTTTTTGGGAGGTTTTCTGCTGGGGCGCACAGTAGGTGGTTCTTATATTTTTAATTATAATATTCTAAGGTTCTTCTTTCAGACTTATGAGACCATGGTTAATTTGAGCCACTAGCCCTTAGGAAATACATGATTAATCTGTTTGATACTTTTCAAAGCTTAAGCGTAGCTTGAAAGTTCAACCCCTTTTAAATTTTCTGCTAAAGCAATGGGTTGGGTGCAGTAGTAATTAGTATGCATGATTTATGTGAAATCTGAGGAATTATGGGCATCTCTGTGATTAAAGACAGAAGGATACTGTCTCCGGCCCTGCCTCTTCATATTATAGATAGTATTTCTACAGATACCTCCTTTTTTTGTACAGTCTTCCAGAGATTTTGCCAGAAGGCAGAAATGGTGAATCTCATAGTTAGAGATTTTTAGGCCTGACTAAGTTTTTGTTGCCTACCGTCATTTAAGGATCACATTACAAAGCACAGTAGTTGTGGTTACCTAACTTAATTTTCTTAAACCAAGAGAGTTTGAGTGAGATGCAGGTTGTTTGTCATGGCAATGTCTGTTTTTGTTCTAAGATTTTCTCTGTTGAACTAGGACACTAAGGACATTAAAACCTCTGACCTTGTGTTTTTGGTTGTTGTTGTTCATACAATGAACTAATGTCAGTCACTTTAATTTTACTATATAATTGAATATATCAATGTGTTTGTATTATTAGTATTTTGTTAATTTTCGAGAGGATTACTATATTTCTGGCAAGATAGGTTATTGGTTTGATTATGCATATGAAAAAATATAAGCCTCAACAATGGGGAATATTGTGAGACATATTTATGAGACAACCTAAATAAAAGCTAGTTTCTGCTTTCCTCATATACTTAAGGTACCACTGCTTTGCACCTCCTCTCTTCTCTTCCTGCAAAAGTTTTGTGAGGATTTATGTTTTCCTTTTTTTTTGTATGTGTCTTTCTTTCCTCTGCAGCATTAAAGCTGGGTCCAGAAGCATTCAAATTTGATGGTGGTGTTGAAGCAGTGGCAGTACGACAGAATGAAAAGTATTACATCCTAAGACCAGAGGTTATTGAGACTTACTGGTATATGTGGAGATTCACACATGATCCCAAGTACAGGCAGTGGGGCTGGGAGGCAACACAGGTAATTATTGATGAACCATCAGCAAATTAATTTTATTTTCCTTTCCTTCTGTAGCCACTTCAAGCCAGTGGTACTGAAACATTTCAAATAACAACTGATTTTCTTCATCCCTGTAAACTAGGGTGTGAGTGCGACTGAGGGCTCTTACTCCTGTTTTGCAACTGCTGAAACAGATGCATAGATCAGTGATGTGTTCGATATTATGCAGCTGAGAAGTTCGGGCCTGAAAATAGCCACTAGTCATGGCTTCTACTGTTAGCAGCAGTCTTCAGCCTCCAGGAGCGGCAACATATCTTTGGAAGTGAAAGAGAATTATAAATAGCTTTTGGTAAAGCACGTGTTTTGGCACTCAGCGTAGGTTAAAAGACCTTGCCATTCAGTTTTCACTCTGTTTGCTGGTGAAACGCAGTTATTGGGAAAAATGGCCGGAGTTGTTAAGACAAGGCAGCATATGCTTACTTACGTGCACCAGTATGCTCACTTTTGCTTATCCTAGTGGAGTCACTGGAAAGAAAAGTTTGCCAGTCAGTTTAGACTCAATTTACTCAAATCTAATGAAAAAGAAATATAGCAGCTCAAGAATTAGACTATAAAAAGCATAAAAGGAAGTAAATAAATAAGAGGGCATAGAACAGAATTAAAAATTGTAACTAAAATGTCCTCTTTTTAGAGTCTGTTGCCCCTCTTGTATAGTTGCTCTAGTTTATATCACATCACTGCGTATTTGAATCAAATTTCCAAGTATAAAAGAACTTTTGGGTTTTTCCTGTTGGAGATGCTTGTCCTAATCCACGGGAGCCAAGATTTTGTGTAGACTGTGAACACAGATCTGTGCTCTTAGCCTTCCTTCATTCATCCTTTGTATATAGATGGATAGCTCCTTTGCCTGATATTTACAGATTATACTCCATGTGAATAAGTAAGCTTCATTTTCACATGACAGTATGCTATTCTAATTGTAATTGTATGTAATCCCCAAAAGATTGCTCATTTTAAATGCTTTCTAGAGCTGAACTGTGAACCGTTTGTCCTCTCAGGAATCTCACTGCTTCCACCTGCTGGTCTTGATTAAGGTCATGCAAAACTGATTTGCCAGCCATGCAGTCTTCTGGACCTGTTCAAAATCTTAGTGGTTGAGGGACCACTGCAGCTCTTCCACTTTCCTGCTGTAGATGTCACATTTTTTCAGAATGCAACTCAAAAGACTTGGAGTTGAGAATAAGCATTAAAGATAATAAGACATTAATGACATTTTTTTACTACAGTCAGGCAAATGAGATGAGGAGAAGAGGAGGACAAGAGCTTTGAGGATCTTTGTGGGCCAACACTGTGGTGTTTTCGTTTGTTTAGATCCAGAGTCAGGAGAAGCAGAAAAAGTACTTGGAGGCAGAAGAGGTCTGCTGAGAGATCTGTATTAATAACAGTGAAGATAATTAAGGCTGGCTTCCTGTTCCAAGTTCAGAACATTTTAGCTCATCTGATTCTGCCCTTTCCATAGGGTAGCTAAATTGTGTAGAAAAGTCCAAATGTTATAAGATGGTGTCTTAGTCTTGGTTAAGATTTTGCCTTATAGGTCACATAATATATTAACAATGAATTATTTCAGAGAGAGGGCATCTCTCTTACGATTTTATTTCAGAATCCATTATTGTTATCTTGAAAGCATTATGAAAAGTAGTGGATTAGTAACCATTGTTTTCCACCATTTGTCCTACAAATTGCTTGCTAATCTAATACCAGCTGTTGTTGGAGACTCTTGTTAGATGATCCAAGTTGAGATGAGGGATGTTTGTACTAGGTTAAAGAATACACAACTGTAAGTTTTTTAGGCAGAAGCTGTAATTATACTGTAAAGTATGTTTTTGAACTGTATCTTTTTCAGTTTTCTCTACCTGTCTTTATATGTTGGTTCCTGTTAATGCTTTCAAATGAAATGTCTCTTACCTGTTAAAAAATTGTGCTTTATTTTCTATTTGAATTTGTTTAGTTTCAGTTGTCAACCACTATTTTGCTATGACTTTATATACTAGATTAAAATGGTTTTTTTTACACCATTTAATAAACTTACAGCTTAGATTTTTAAGATGATAAACAAGTTGTACTATGTCTCCCACTTCGAATAATTTTCTCTAAAGGTTCAGATCTGCATCATCCTTTTTGAAAAATAATTTCTAGAACTATGCATTCCAATTTTGACATTTCTCACAGCTCTGCAATAATCTTTACGAATTTTTATGTCTTCTCAGAGAATGAAATCCAGCTCGCTATCATTTTTTTTGTTTTGTATGAAACTATGCTGTTTGGACTTCTTTTCTTACTCTTCTATATTCTTTTTACTTGTAAATGTTTCCATGCCCAGGACTGATATCAGGTGTGCCAGCCTAACATTATCCAATTGGCCTCCTAGTGCTTTTTAATATTAATACTACCTTAATTTTCTTACAGTCCCCTAGGATTTTCTGTATTCTGTGGTAGAATAAAAATGAGCATCATTTAGTCAAGGAAATGAGCATTGAGCTCTTGATTTAAAGAGTTGCCAGACAGTGAACCAAATGCCTCTGTGTTAAATATTGTGAACATTTCACAGAACGGTTGAGGTTGGAAGGGACCTGTAGGGATCCATACTTGCATGAGCAGCTATGCAGCAATCAGTGGGATTTTTCCTCTCCAGTTCATTACCACCTGGAGTATCTAGATCTCTGATCAATTAGAATAAATCCTCTGCCTGTCTTGAGCTTCAATCTAGCCTGAGCCTGTCTTCCCAAGGAGAAATTTCTCAAGATTTCTCATAGTGTAACTGTAGCCTACATCAGTGAGATTTCTGAAAAGATTTCACCTACACTCTACTTTATTCTAGACCTTGGTTTCTGAAAAGGAGTGTTTCCAAACTTGGAGAAAGCTCTACTTAAGGAAATAGAGAATTAGACTTTACCCAAGACTACCTTTCTTGGCATCGGCTCTGGCTCCACAGCCACAGGCATGTCAGCAATGTGCTTTTGCCTGGTTCCCCTCTTCCTTCTTTAAAGACTTCTATCTTCAGAAATTTAAATGAACTCTGTACGCTAACATATTATTCTTTGGTCTATGCACATTTGCACAGAATAAAAGTATATACATGGAGGAAGACAGTACCTAGTATGTTGTGACTTACATTGCTCATTTGCCTTTTTGCTTTTTTTTTTTTTCTAATTTCGCCAGTAGTATCTGCCAATATTCTTCATGCATGTGTCCAATGGGAAATCATGTTTTCTCTGTATTTCTAGTATAAAAAGACTTCAGCAAGGACTTTGATGAGTTAATTTTGACTAAATTTGTTTCTCTGCATAAAAATTCCATTTTATGAGAGCATTTAAAATTCCATTTTCTGTCTTGCTTTGACTCCCCTCAGCTTCTGTTGAGTACAGCTAGCAGGAAACAGAATTAACAGAAATTTAGGCCTAAAGCACTGTTCTCACTAAAGCACAGATTCTCACTAAAGCAGTGAGAATCTTCACACTACCAAATGGGTCAAATCAGAGATTACTGAACTACAGGTATCTTTGTTCAGTGGTTGATAATGACAGATACCCTGAGCCAGTTTCCTTTATTACTGTCTCTTTTCTGTCTCTGTGTGAATCTATTAAAAGAGTTATTGTCTGCTGAGGAGGAACTGCCAAAGCAGCAGGGAACCACAAATAACCTGTGAATCATTTCAGGGTCGTTTGTGGGGACTGTTTTTGATGGCTGATATCCTTGTGTGCTCTAAGTTTGTGCATGTGGATGGAATGATGAAAGTGCAGACAAGAGGCGCCCTGAGTTACTAATGTCTTCTTTCCAGTCTCCTCTTCCATTGTGCTTTTTGCAGTAGTATGTTGGATCTGACTAGGTCCTGACCTAGGGGCATAATGGGTGATTTGGGAATTCACGGCCCATTGGCCCTTTTCTGCATGGAAAGGGCCAACAGGGAGAAGATCTGCTGGCCCGCTTTCTCCAAGGTTTATGGATTTAGGCTGCATGCTATAAAGATAAAAGAGTTCCTCTGCAGTCCATCACACAAGCCAATTTAAGTTTCAACTGTATAAATAGGAAACAGAGAACAGCGCAGGTAGGGGACGGAAATATGGGGAAAAAGCAACAGCTAGAAGAGTTTATGAGAAAATCAACAGTTATCAAAGATGAATACAGCATTTTATCCCTCCTTTTACTAAGTCCCCATAACAGACTACTAGTCACATGTTCCTGCAACTCTTCAGACTGTCAGTTGCAAAATCTAGGGTATGTTTATCATTTCCTATACTTCTTGCAGTATGATCAGTTATGTGATCAGTTACCTATGAGCAGCCATCTCAACTCAGACCAGAAGGCAATGGAGTCCATGCCCTGTCATCAGTATCAGTCAATTGTGAATAGTTTGGAAATTTTTCTTTTATAGCCCCCGGGAAATGTGGTATCTTTAATAACCTTGAAGAGGTTTTACATCTGCGTTTGTTCAATCCCTCCACTTTTTTCTTTCTTTTTTTTTTTTTTTCAATTTCACTTTTAACATCCACAGCTTCCTCTCCTCAACAGCTACGCATCATGGAAAGAGCTGACTTCTTTTGTCTCTTATGAGCCTGTGTTGATCAAGCACGACTCTTCCAAGTTCCCAAATTTTGTTCTACAAATAAGCTATTTGTCTTTTTTTCCTCTTTACAGGCCATTGACAAGTATTGCCGAGTCAGCGGTGGCTTTTCTGGAGTCAAGGATGTTTATTCGTCATCTCCTGCATATGATGACGTACAGCAGAGTTTTTTCCTTGCTGAAACTTTGAAGTAAGTTTTCTGTACATGTTCATGGCATCTTCCTATAAAAGCAAACATCTAAAATCTAGAAGAATACTTAGGCTTAACAAATCATCTGTTGTCTATCACAGTCTGTCTTCCAACTTCAGGCTCTTAGGTCAGCCCATTTACCAGCAGAAAATATAAGTAGGGTCTCCCATGCAAGTATCTTACGTTGATGGAGCTTTGGTTTAAAACCTCCATTTGATATTTGGTGTTACAACAAAAGAAATTTTATCTCCTTCCAAAAAATTCCCTTAAAAATATTTTAAGTTCACTGACTTGACATGTTCTACATGAGATACTGTATGCCATGCTGCCACTGTATGTGCTGCCATTCAGAGGGACCTAGACAGTTTGGAGAACTGGAGAGCTGGGCAGAGAGGAACCCCCTGAGGTTCAGCAAGGACAAGTTCTGCAGGGTCCTGCACCTGGGGATGAATAACCCCAGGCATCAGTACAGATTAGAGGTTGAACTGCTAGAAGGCAACTCCATGGCGAGGGATCTGGGAGCCCCAGTTGACAACAAGTTAGCCATGGGGCAGCAGTGCCCTCGTGGCCAAGAAGGCCAATGAGATCCTGGCTGCATGAGGAGGATGTTGCCAGCAGGTGGAGGGAGGGGATCCTGCCCCTCTACTCAGCTCTGGTGAGGCCACACCTGGAGTATTGGGGGAAGTTCTGGGCTGCCCAGGAGCATCCCCAGATCAAGAGGGATGTGGAGCTTCTAGAGAGGGTCTAGCGGAGGGCAACCAAGATGATTAAGGGACTGGAACATCTATGGTATGAGGAAAAACTAAGCGAGCTGGGCCTGCTTAGCCTGGAGAAGATTGAGAGTGGATCTGATCAATATGTCTAAGTACCTGAGAGGAGAATGTAGGGAGGATGGGGTCAAACTCTTCTCGGTGGTGGTCAGTGATAGGACAAGGGGTAAAGGGTATAAGCTGAAACACAGGAGGTTCCATCTCCACATGAGGAAGAACTTCACTGTGAGGACGACGGAGCCTTGGAACAGCGTTCCACAACAGGGAGGTTGTGGAGTCTCCTTCTCTGGAGATCTTCCAGACCCGCCTGGATGCCACCATGTGCTCTAGGTGTGCTTGCTTGAGCAGGAGGTTGGACTAGATGGTCTCTAGAGGGTCCCTTCCAACCTCAGTCATTCTGTGTTGCTTTGATGTTGTAGACCCTGTTTCTCCTGTGTGTGTCATTAAAAGGCAGTACATAGGTGACAATGACATGGAACAAAAGCCCTCTGTGCCCTTGAATGAAATCTTTGTGTTTATCCCACAATTTACTTTTTGATTTTTTTTAAATATTTTTATCTAGGCCAGCATATCAGGCCTTTCTGTATTTATTTTAAAATATTTATTATTATTGTTATGCAACATATGTTTATAGTTTACTTCTACTACTTTTATAATTTTATATGTTACAGATTTTGAAAACTTTTGAATATTTCCAGTTCAGTCAAACCTGCAGGACTTATCTAGTCTGTATTTTACAGACTATTGCACTCTGTTGCACATTCTGTTTAAAGTGAAGCGTTACAGATATTTTGCCTTCCACCACATTTCTTTCTTGGTGAGCTCTCCACTTCTAGAAGAGAAATATCTGAGCTGGCTAGATTTGCAACCTTTTTTTTTCTCTCTCTCTCTTTATTGGATTTTGGAGACTTTTATCAGTTAACACCATGAACAGAAGCCGATGTTAAGTATGAATGAGGCTAAAGGCTCATGTTGGGAGTCTTGGTTGTTGCTTCTGCCTGCATATCCGTGTCACATTCTGTCAGCATGTGATGGAAGAGATGATACATATGGTTTTAGACAAAACTGTCAGTTATCAAGGATCACTAACATGCTCTTTCTGCCACTCCAGCCTTATGATATGAAGCGCTGTAATCATTTGCTAGTTTAACACTGTGTGCAGGTTTTGAAGAAACAGAGTTTCTATACAGCAGAGGAGTTGTCAATGTCAGATGTTGCAACTGATACCTGAAGATTGATTTTAGCTGCTGGGATTTCAAAATACAGAGGGGAGAAAGAGGGTCCTTCTTTCCGTAGCAGCACTGGTGCCTACTCTAGGCCACTCAACCTGTTTTACTGGCAAGGAGGATCTCCGAGTTCATCGTGTGCAAGGGAACATTTTGGCAATTCTGTCTTTCTATTGCACCCTTTATAAACTCCTCTAAACAGTCACAATACTTTGTTTTTCAATATTTTTATTAAACCAAAGAAAGTCAAGCTCTGCTGCCTTCTCCGCCATCTTCATTAATTTTATTTTATTTATTCCTTTGAATTTGTTTTCTGGAGCTGAAAAGCTATATTCCCAAAGGGAGAGGCAGCGGTTTCAAACAGGTCTAGTCAGAGAAGCATTACCTCTCAGGGAATTGATTTTATATGATCCATTTGCCTATAAAAACTAAATCAGAGAATGAAAGCCTTTCCTATGGGACTTCTGTGGTAACAAGATGGCTGTTAAAATACTGCCAGAATCCTCTCTAGATCTTTAATGGTCACAAGGTGATCTTAAAATTCACTGATTCATCACTTGGATATGTGGATATACTGTTGTGCAAACATTGTAAGAGAAGGAAATTCTGAGGAATAGCCCCCAAATGCTTTACTGGCGTTAAGTCTGGATCACTTTCTACTTGTGGAGCAAAATGAAGTTTTGTTGCAGAGCTAGAGATTAGATCTTTGAATGCAATGGGCATAGCCAAGCCAGGAACTGATATCATCTTGAGATAGAGTGCATGAAAGCAAGATAGTTCAGAGGGCTGTGAAAATAAAGAGAGGAAGGCTGGGTTTGTTGCCAAGAAAAAGATGGAGATATTCTTTAGAAGAGGATTGTAAAATGTTTGTTACAGAACGTCAGCGGTTATCTTTTGCTGTATTTATAATAAATTCTGCATCTTTATCCCCCTCAAATTCAAAGTTTATGCCTCCCCTAAATATGTATTATGCCTCCCCTAAATATGTATTGTTGCTGCTCAGACAATGATTAATCAAAGATAACCTCCCAGGGCAAACTATGAGATTTTAGGCAGTATGAAGCAAGAACATAATCACTGATCAGCAAGGTGCAAGATGTAGAAGTAGCTTGCCTAAGTCTGAATCAGTAAGGAAGGTGAATTTGAGTAAGCTTACTTACAGGCTATACAACTTATACTACTTATTTATAGGAAAGCAGTGCTGCTGAGGTGGAAGAGCTACTGGGAGAGAAAGCAAGGAAGGAGAAATGAGGAAAGGGTGTTAGACTATGAGAAAAAAAAAAAAAAAAAAAAAAGAAAAAAATGTAGAGCAAGAAGCCAGAGTGTGGGACAAAAGAAAGTTGCCTAATTAATTCTTATCTGCAAGTAGTTACTTGGTGAAGAAATGAAGAAAAAGTAGAGCTATGCAGCCTCAGCTCTGCATCTGATTTGGATATGGCTAAGGAACAGCAGCATCAGCAGAGGGAAGACAGAGTAACGTGCGTGTGCGTTAGAAGCCACTACTGGGAATGTCACCCATTGTCACGTGCTTTTCTAGATAGCAAACCCTCAGCTAAAGCAGGGGCTCAGAGGCCCTGTAGGTCCCTAATGTTAAGCCTGTTGAGCCCACAGTCAGATTTTCTGAAGCAAGGGAAATGCCTTTTGAATTTTAGCAATTGACTTTGTATTTGACTAAGATTCCTCCTGTCAATATCACCCTTCAAAGACACCTTCAAACTCGCCAACACGTTCAAATTTCTTATTCAGGAATAAGAATCAAGAAATGCTCATTTTCTATGTACATCTAGAACTTTAACTTTGTTACATGCTTCATTTCTTCTATAATGAGTAATAGTTCTGAATCCTCTCTGCTGATCCTCACTGTGCAATACGTTGGTCCATTTCCTCCCACCAGAAACAGAACCAGTTTTCAACATGTTGTCGATAACCTATGTATCTGTCAGGCTTCGCGGCTTCTCCCAATCTTGCTCTGAATCTTTGATCTGGAATCAAAAGGATTGTCTGTTTTCAAGCGAGTTCTCTCATTCAAAGAGGTGTTTGCCAACTCCTCTGCCACTTCCTTGCCCCTAGAATCTTTGTGCTCAGTGTCTTGATGTTTCTGTCACACCAGTTCTTTGAATGGAGTCTTGAAAAACAGAACACATTACTTGGAAAGATTAACATGCTGGCTGTATAGCACCTTTTCATCAGGATAAAATTGGCTCTTCAGATCATTTTAACAGGGAAGGCAGTGTGTTTTGTGGGGAGTGCTGTAAAAATAGCTTTAGCTGTTGAGAGTTGGAGCCTGAAGTTACTCTGTTGCCCCTGTCTGTTGCTCTCCATTAATACCTATCATTTTTCTTCTCTGTCTTGATATCCAGGTATTTGTATCTGCTTTTCTCCAATGATGACCTTCTACCTTTAGACAACTGGGTTTTTAACACGGAAGCTCATCCTCTGCCCGTTTTACACTTAGCCAACACCACACTGTCAGGAAATCCTGCTTATCGATAAGAACAGCTCTAAGAGGAGGAAGACAGACTGTTTTCACCTGTTTTGTTTACATGGACCACCTGAGATTTCAAGCCGGAGAGGAGAAAGACACTTGATAAATCTTGAGGGTTGAGTGAAGTACTGGCATGAGAAACAAAGCTCTTCACCATATAGATAAGTAAAACTGAAAAACAAAAGTTCCATTTTATACATGACCAAAACACGCTAGTGTGGTATTTGCAGGACAGAGACCTGCACTTTGAACTCTCACAAGAATTGGAGTGTACTGTTTAATATGAATGCAGCAGCCTAAGGAAGAAGAAGAGGCTTTCCTGTCCAGGGAAAGGAACTAGCTGCTGCTGCAGTTGGCTATTGCGAGGAACAACGCACCAGTCACCCCTGCTGATGGGGTGGGTTCCAAATGCTTTTCTTTCTTTTTTTCTTTTTTTTTTTTTTTTGAGGATGACATGAACAAAGGAACCGCAAAAAGCAGCATCACTGCACCAGCAGCATCAGGATTTCTTTCTTTCTTTCTTTTCTTTTTTTTCCTTTTTTCTTGCTTCGTGTACCTGCCTGAATTTTCAAATCATCATTTTGCCCAGACTGGCAGCCATTCTCCAGGACTCTAAAACATGAAAACATGCATGCTCACACCCAGAAAACAATCAGTAAGCATTTGGTTTGTTGTTCACTGGCACCATTGTGAGTTTTAGATCATTTGGCAAGCTACAGTTTGGAGTGTGGAGTGTATCACAGGGGTAGGAAGAGCCTCCTTTCCTCACACATTTTTTCACAGTGAAGTCGATATTCTTTTATTTGTCCTGTCTGTTGAATCAGAGATGAAAACATGACAAAAGCAGTTTCTTGTGGTGTATTTGACAGAATATAGCATATTACAGTTAGAAATGCTTGCTCTGAGGTAGCCAACAGGAGTGTTTTGTTGCTTTATGTTAGTCCATACAAACTGGATTTTCCCAAAATTATCTTTTTTTTCTGTGAATATTATCCAGAGAAAGTCCTTTTACAGATTTGAAATCTTGACTTTTTTTACTTCTGTGTATGATAGAAGCTCAAAACAGCATTTGATTTTGTTTATAAAACTCTTTTTCATTTGGGTCACCATCTGCTTCAGTGTAAAGCAAATACATTTTTCTTTGGAAAAAACATAACATCTCTTACCTATGAGTGAAAAAAGAAGCTATCAAATCCCTTCTTCTCTTAGTTTATGAGAAATGAGATAATATGTTACCTGTAATTGCTTTTTCTGGATATTATGATGCTGGGATAGTCCAGATAGTTTGAGATTAGGCCAGACAGTAAGTGTAGACTGCTTCAGTCTTCACTTAAAATTTATATTTATTAAGAGAAGTTTATTTTTTTCAAGCCTTTTTTTTTTTATCATTGTTCCAGAATCCTTACTACTCAAATGGTTCTTTTTATTTCCCTTTACAGTTTCCAGATCTCTTCACCATGGTGCCTCCCCCTTGCTGAAAGAGAACTGAGGTGCTTCTCTCCCTCCTAATTCGTGCACAGGTCGAGTCTTTTAAAAATCCTGATTGTGTTTTCATATTAAAAGTCAGTGGCAGAACTCCCTTGAAGGAGCTTACAACAGTATAGTGTCACCTCCAAAGGTACTGAGTGCTATAGCAACTCCCTCCTCCCCATCCCAAAAAAATGTTTATATATGAAGTTTTATATATAAATGATTTACACCTTCAAATATAATTTGTGTGGGTGTAAATTATATGCACAATTGAGAAAAATCTGTCTCTATATTAAAGAGGGATTTCCCGAATTCCTGTCTTCAGTCCTCTTGCATATTAACTTAGACACAAAAATCATCACTTGGCATGTCAGTTCAAATATACATGCTCGAAGAAAAAAAGTGTTATTAGATGCTTTTCTCCAGACTGTTACCTCAGATTAACATTAGGAAGATAGAAAATTTGGAAAACACTCCAGTGTCAACATTTTTACCTTAACATTAATTAGTAATTAATTAATCACAGTTACTGTGATTTACAGTAGTAGTTCAAAACTAATTTGAGAATTGTTAAAGTAATTGATATAGTAGATAATTCCAATTCAAGCAATTTTTTACTTAGAATTAACAATAAATGGTCCCACAAATAAATGGTCCCATTGATCCACATTAATTTATTTTTCTAATTAGCATTAAATGACTTTAATAAGTCATTTATAAATGACTTAAATAAACTGAGTATTTCCCATCCTCTGAGAATTGTTAGTTTTAAGCAGCATTTGATTGCCTTTGTGCTACTAAATCTTTATGGGTACAAAGGAGAATAAAGAAAAACAGACTCTTCATTAGAGGGGTGAGAAAAAAAAAAAAAAGGCACCTTCTACCACTTTTACCCCAGCCCCTCCACACATTTCTCAATATATGCAAGTCAGAGTGGCTGCCAGTCTGTTCAGAGAAAGGTGAAGGACGGAGTTTTGGAGTCCCAGAAAGAGAAATGGCAAACTTCAGCTCATCCTTGCTCTCTCAGTCACCTGTTTCGAAGTACAGAAAAACCACTGAAATTTCTCCATGAATTCCAATGGATTAAATCACTGCCACAAGAATGCTTGAATTGAGGACCTAAGCCATTCCGTGGTGATGGGACAGTGTTTTTCTCAGTGCAGATGTACAGTACTGCTATTTCTTCTTTGTATAGACAAGCAGCAGGTACCAAATAAAGGACACTTGTTTCGCATTACCAAGTTACCCAATGTTTGTCAATCTCTGCCCTGTCACTATTTAAAACGCAAACCATTCTCTCTCTCCAGCAGCTACTGATATGTAAAGGCTATATCAAAAATAATGCGTTCTGTGGACTACTTGCTGTGTCATTCATGAATGTCAGTACCCTGAGATATCCTAGAGAAAGCTGAGTTTGGAGGCAGTGGGTTCTGAGCAAGGTGCTCATGGTAGCCAAGTGTGGATATTGAAGCTTTCAGCTGCAGTAGAATGCGCTCTTTCTCAGCCCGTCACAAAGAAGTAGGTACTAGGCTGCAGAAGGGAGTTATATGCAAGCCAAAGTTCAGACCACTTTCCCTCTGGGTACATAAGGTACAGATGAATATTGTCATTTCTGCTGCTGTCTTACATACTTTCATGAAGATAGAGTGTAAATTTAAGCTCAAGATGACTTTTTAGTCTTAGCTGTTTCAAAGCCTTGCACTATGTTCTCTAACAGTCCTCAAATTCTTTAGGTAGCTGTTGCCTTCTAGCAATTTCTGCAATGCTCTTTCCTCTTACAGGATGAAATAAGCAACAGAAAATCATGTACATTTTTGACACACTGGATTTGTGCAAGAGTCTGGATATCCCAGAGTTGTCCATTTTCTTTTTGCATGCATTCAAAACAAGTATGTTTTATATTATTTTCTTAATCGAAGCCTCAAACTTGCCTGTGCATCAGGATCTGCTAGCATTGAAGTTTTTTCTAACACTTACAGCTTGACTTTTCAAATAAGCCGAATTTCTGCAGTTTCCTTTGACCAACTTGGAGCTGTGTGCATCCTGCGGTCAAGGAGACAACTTCTTAGATTTGTCCTCTGTTTAGCAATAAAATCTTTGAATGGTATTCAGGGTGTTCATCTTGCTGCACAACATGGTCCTTTAATAAGAACATGTAAGATTGTAAACACCCTGGAGTATTGGGAAAAACAAATAGGGTAGTTCCCTGAGTCATTCACATCTTTGAGGCTGCTTTGGCTTCCTACTCCAAATTTGTGAATGGTTCTTCCACCTACTATTTATTGATATATTCTCAACTGATACTTTACAGGACTTGAATATTGAGTCTCCAGAGCTCAAAAAGTAAAATCAGGCACTCTCTCTGTGCAGTACCATCCTGTAAGAGTAAATACCTACCTTGTCTTGATTTATAGCTAAGCAAAACTCTGTCTGACTGTCCTTTATGATCCCCTCTACCCCTGAGGAAATGATACTATAAACCATAATGTCCCTCTTCCTAGTTTGAATGGAGAAGCAGTTAATAGTATTAACACTGAAAGGATCAACAGTGTCATCTGGCATACACAGAAAACTGTGAGGCAGTGTCCATCTCAGGGTTGTAATAACAGACTCTTATTAAATTGAGTTTGTTATCTAATTGTTAGGTGTATTGTGTTTTTAAAGGGAGAAATTAAAAATAAGCTTGTTACTAGAGGAAAAAATGAAAATACACTGTTGATTCACATGGTAGTTCAGAGATCTGTTTACGATCCCTGGTATGGCACCCCTCTTCCAGCCTTTGAATTTTGAGAAACATTCTGATTCAGTGGAGTTGAGTTGCCACACAAGAGGAAACCCAGGCTCTTTTGCAAGTTCATGTACGTACAAGTGTAGCAGAGATGATGAGCATCAGCTGTGTCCGCTGTCCGGCCACTCTAACAAACTGCTGTGTAATTGTCCAGAAAAGTTGGGAATCACCAAACTAGGAGACAGACGGACTTGTTACACTCAGATTGTTCCCTTTAATCCTGGTTGCTTTGTGGAAGCTGGTTTTGCATTCTGCCTTTATCTTCCTTTGTCTAAAATTGACCAATTATTTTTCCTCCAAATTAATAAAAGGGCAAGAGTCTATCTTCTGACATGGGAACCTTCTGGCTGCCTCTGGAATCCTGCATATGTACTTTTTACAGATTAAAGATAATATTGTATATAAAAAAGAAGATTGAATAAAGAATGTCTTTAAGTGAGAAATGTGTCTTTTGTGTCCTTTGCCGCCAAGAGCAACCTCTAGTAACATTGGACTATGAAGCTGATCCTATTTCACAGCTCGTGCAACAGCTTTTCATTCTTCTTAAGCTCTACTAGGAACTCTCTCTGTCAACTTAAGCATTTATCAGGACCCACTATTGCAAAATTAACTCCTCTCTTCCCCATAGCTTCTATTAGCAGATTGCTGCATTGCTCCATGCTCAAATTTTTATTAAGATGTGACTGAATGTACAACAGCCTGAGACTTTCTGTGCCATTGTGAAAGCCATCAGTATTCACAAAATTCTAAGCTTGCTATCCCATTATAAAATTTGGTTGAAATTGGCTGAAAAATTCAAAAGGCAAAGATGAGGGCAAAGAGGACAGGCAGACAAGCAGAGCTACAAAATAAACTTAAATTTCCTTAGACACCATGTTAAAACTCTAGGTTTTTATGACACTAACAGGTAAATTAGCAACTAAATCTGTCCAGCCATTTTGTTACCCATTTCTTTTAGAACAGATTAATAGTTGTTTGTTTAAATGTTCACAGCCAAAGTGTTATGAGGAATTCTCATTTAAGGGAGATGATTTCCCCCCTGCATTTTCAAATTTACTGAAAATCTTGCTGATCTCTGCAGCAGATCTCTGTTTTGCAGTACAGCAAATGAATAGCCAGATTTGCTTTCTGGTTCATGTTAACTGTACATAATCCTCACTCTCTGGCATTAGCCCATATTACTTGTATGCAGTGCCTCGTTTCCATGGTGTACCATGTCTCTGCAATGTATTTTCACAGCTCTTTCCCATGCCTCTTAATTGAGTGCTTTATACCCTGTACCTAACTACACAGCATGTTTCTGTTCTTCTCCCTCCTTCAGTGCAACTTTCTAAGAGAAAATTACTTCCAAATTACTGTAACTCAGTGAAGTACATAGCACGTGATGCACTCCCCCTGCCCTGCACTCTGTTATTGCTCCCCAGTGCTACAAACCCCGTGTGTTCACATGGCACCCAGTTTACTTACTCCTACACCTCCAGTTGCTCTGCCATTACGCACTACATCTTTGTCTGCAGCATTATGGCCTGTACTGAATACTTAATTCCTCCATCTTCACGGCTCTCCAAGCAGTACCGTGTTCTTCGTGGCTCAACTCTATTGCCCGCAGCTTGCTGAAAATGAAATGTTTCACCTATCTCTTTCTACCTCCTCTGAAACACTATTTCTTTGCAAACTTTCCTGTTTTATGTCTCTATTGGCACTCTGCCTGTATGTTCTTCCCCCACCAAATATGTGATTAGTTGTGCTCCTCCTATGTGCATTTGCTCAAGCATAGTGGGTATTTTTATCTGCCATTTCCATGTATATTAATTAGCAATACTTAAAAATCCTGAAATAAATCCCTCCTGAAGGCACATGAGGTATTTTTAGCCTTTTTATTGTAGCTTTGAGAGATGTCTTCTCTCAGCAGAAAGCCGTAGACACTTTGTGTGCCTTGGGAAGAAATGGTTCCTTGATTTCTACCAGTCAACAAGTGGGATATGTGAAGAAGGCACAGTTAGCTTTAAGATTTGTGTGTGTGTATGTGTGTGTGTATGTGTGAGAGAGAGATCAAACTCCCATATGAACAGGTTTGAGGGGAGCGGTCACTCATACAGCCAAACAGCTTGCAGGTAAACATTCAGGGAGGGAATGGGGAGGGAAAAAAAGCACCATCTGTGCATGTGTACCAACACTTTGTTCACGTTTGTCTTTTGGAGTTTCCATTGTACAATTATCGGCAACAACATCTATTTGTTACACTATAAACTAGAAAGAATAAACTGCTGCCTGACAAAGTATAAAATAAATTGTGGTATTGGTATCACCCTAATCATGCAGTATTCCCATGTGATTTGCATTACTGCTAAAGCCACAAAAGGAAGAATGTCCCTCAGTTATTTCTTCCAAGAGCTGGTACCGTATAAGCCTGTGCACCCACCCATCTTCTCACCTATTCATGTTGAAGCTGCAGTAAGCCAATCAGTGGAAGAAGTTCTCCAAAACAGTGGTGGATGCCCAAAGTCTGACATGTCATACATCAGCACATAGAGATCTGTGTGCAGATTGCAGAAGGTGAAATGTAGGTCACATGGGTAGATGGACACGTTAATGGCTGTTATATGGATCATGCCCAGTGTTTCTGTGAAAAACTCCACAAATTTGCTGGTTAACTTTACCTACATGTTGGGCCACAGAATGTAGTTTGAAGGAATCACTGAAGATACAGAATTACCTGGGATACAAAAGACAGAAGTTTCCAGATTAACCAGATACATGTTCTTAAATGATTTCAGGTGAGGTATGTATAGTACAGCTTGTCTAATTCGATAAATGATGTGTTCTTGATTAACTTGACTTGAAAATATGAACACAAGAATTGTGCAATGGAGAAGGAATTGTATAAAGAAGAGATAGTAAAGAATAACTCAAGGAAGGCAATTCCTAAGTGTATTAGTGAATATAATTGCATCCTGGAACTGGGACAAATCTTGTATAATGGCAAAAATGAGTTTCTTTGCAGCAGCAAAAGACCAGGAAGGATTGTCAACAAAGAGAAGAAAGGATTAAGTAATCTTGAGGCTTGTCACAACAGAAGGCAGAGGAAATTCAAAACATCAAGACAGTCTTATTCCTCCAGAGACTAGAAACAAAGCTTTTTACTATAGAGACAAGAAACAAAACTTTTTACTATAATCTGGGATGATATCAGTTTGAAATCATTAAAACTGAGAAAGACCTCAGTGTATAGTCAGCTACAGTGTCTCAGGTCACCAATGTATGGTGAAAAAAAAGCAGATTAAATTGTAACATCTATGCAGAGTCAACACTACAGTCTACCAAACTTGTCTCGCCAGCAACCGAGAGCAGATTTCCAGGGAAGTATAGAAGAATAAGGCAATTTCTTCAAGATACTGTCCCATACTGAAATGATCGGCAGCTCAAGAATGTTCTGAGCTGCCGATCAGAGCTATTTAATAGCTCTTGACAGACTTTTTTCCCTCATGAATTAGTCCTGTCACTTTTTCAAATCAATGTAAAGTGCCAGTATGCAGAAGAAGCTGTGCCAAAAGGTTCCCAGTGTATGCACAGCTAGCATGGACTAAAAGGGTGTTTCTGATGAAACTGAAAAGCATCAATGTTGTACAAAGCCTGAAGATACATCAGGGATACATCTGGGATACAGTGCTTAGTTCTGATGGCCCATTACCATTACCAGGAAGGCACATCAGTGGCATAGCTACAACAGCATTTAGGTTTACCAGAGAATTAAGAGCTTCTATCAGGCACAGCGAGAAAAGTTTCAGCTGGCAAAATGGAAGGCTGACAGAAGGGATAGCTGCTATCCACAAACACATTAAATAGCTGAACATCCCGGAAAACAAAAACACTGTTTTTTTCCTGGAGGATAAAAGACACTGCCACTTTGCCCTGCCAAACAAAACAAAACAATCAAACAAAAACTCACATAAAGACTCCTCACAAATGGATATTAAAAGATTCTGAATAACTTTCTGCTAGACATTTGAAGCAGGTTTCTGGCTAGACTTCCCCAACAAGTAGAGCAGATTAAGAAAAAAGAAGTTGATCTGTTAAGCAAAGGATGATGTATTGTGGTTGCCTGCAACTTTGGAGATGTGGATCAAGGACATAGGACGTCCCTTCTTTTCTCACATTCCAGAATTCCTGCGAGACAGATGTATCTAGGGCTCAGTTTCTAGGCCCTTGGTATCTAGGGCTCAGCCCTTTCCTTTTTGTTGTCATCTCTCCCAGTGCAGGCTAAGTGTAAAATGCCATTGGAACAGAAAAATCAACCTTTCTTACTGGAGTAATTGGCTCACATTTGTTACTTTGATTGTATGGGGACAACAGAAATTCACCAGAATAGCTGCTATTAAGTGGTCTAGATTGGTTACCTGTTCTGCTTTCAGCAGTCAGTCAATACACACTGCTGTTACTGTAGGACATGAATCTCTTTGATTTCATTGAACAAAGAATATCATACTAACATATTCAGTAGCACAGCACTGAATAAGATACTTTTTCCACAGATAAACTTCCTTGTGCAATGACTTGGACAGCAAAATAGATTGAGATACCTGATCATTGCCACTCTGAGATTCTCCAGCGTACTACCCATGGCATGTATTTATATCTTGTTTTGCCCATCCTTGTGTATGTAATTTCTGTTACAAGCTCATCCTACGCTTTACTCAGTTACATGTCCCATTATTTCTTTTGGAACTTTACGGGTTATTTCTATATTAATTAACATTTACATCACGGGGTTGTGTGACAGTTGTGTGACATTTTTTGCAAGAGTACTCTCAGATCTGCAGTGACACAGGCATTTCCTGCAATTCAGTGAGGAAGAATCTCTGTATTACCTGTGTTTGTATGCTTAAATCTTAGGACTCAGTATTACTTGCCTAGCCATTTCTTATCTTATTCTTATCATGTAGTATAATTCATTTAATATCCTGTTGATTGTGTAAAGTGATAACTTGTAAAACAAACTTCATCCATAATAGACCGGTATTTTCGTAGTACTTCGAAATCCCTAATGTCTGCCAAGTATCCATGTCACGCTTTTTTGACAATGTACATTCTTCATAAAAACATTCACTAGCATTTATTATCCAATATTTCTCCAGTGAATTTATCCTACGTTAATGATAGCACGATACCGCTCTGGACCAATGCCAAGTATGTACTTGCAATTTCCATGGAAATAACAGGGCAATGTGATATTTGCTTTTGTTTCTGTTCTTCTGGAACTTCTTTTGTATTCCAAAATTTATTAAAAATCAGCATCAATAGCTCAAGGTCCAAGGTCCATTTTAGCAAGTAAGTAGCTATTCCTCTGGAGACAAAACAGTATTAATAAGTGGTGTTTAAGCTCAGCTTTTGTACTTGATGAAATATTTCATTATTGTGTAGCATGTGAATTTTATCAGCATACTCTTGCTGCTTCTCCCTTTTCTGCATCATTCAAAAGTAAATAACACCTCAAAAATAAAAAATATGCTAATTTATTCCCACTATGTGTATGTGTGTGTGTGTGTGTGTGTGTGTGTATATATATATATATATATATAAAAAGTTATTACTGACTGCGATCCTGCTGCCAGTGGAGTTCCCTTGATAACCACTACTTTGCTTTACTGATTGCCAGCAAACTGATGAGTATTACTGGCCAGCTAACTTAAAAGGTACTAAAGTACTTACTGGTCAGGTATACACTGTAGCCACTTTGCTAGAGTGCCAGGCACAGGGGGATACAGGCAGCTTTCTACAAAGCACACTGAAGTGATTTGCAGTAAGTGTGCGTATTCATACTCGTATCCCTTGCAGGACACCCCCTGAGACAGCCCGACTGTTGTGCGTGTGGCTGACGCACAGCAGCAGTGACCCCAAGGAGCCACGGCAACTTCTACCCATTCCCGGAGACTTGCCAGTCTCAGGGGATGAGATTTGAAAGATGCTGTTTTCCCGCTGCAGACACCACGTGGTGCAGTTGTTTAGGGTACGTATCTGAACCTAGTGGCAACCGAGCTGAAAATTTATGGGTGCTCATGAAGCCTGATCCACCTTTCGCCGTTTCCTCCTCCATAATTAGTACCCACAGAAAGCGAAAGGCGAGAGCTCCTTGCGGCCTTCTTCCCTACTCTGGCAGCCTAAAGTTAAGACACACAAATGTGCACCTTCTAGAATGAACCTTCTCCCCGGCCCATTGCTTGCAGGAAGGCGGCACAACCAAGAGGAGGGATGAAACCATGGGCAGATGATGGTTTCCAGCTGATTTCTACACTGAAAGCTAACGAATGCACTATGAGGCTTCAGCTTTGCCACAGGCTCTGCTGATCCTGACCCAGACCTGCCAACCCTGTCACCACTGTCCTGCCTGGCTTAAAAATCACACCTATACAACACAAACAGGACTAACACAAGGCAGCAGAGCGCGGCCGCTCCCCCATGTTGATGCTCGGCCACCAGCTGCCATCTTGCCCCCTGCTTATCTGCCGCCCAGCGCTCCCCACAGCCCCGCAGCGCTCCCAGCCCCCGCGCTCCCTCCCGGCCCCCCTCTTCCCTCTCCCTCTTCCCGGGGCCCGCTCCGGCCGGGCTCGGGGCGAGGCCGCCCCCGCGCGGGCAGGCGCGGAGCCGCCACGGCGCCGCAGGGAGCGGGAGGGCGGCGCGAGGCGCCCGCAGCCACCGCCGGCCCGCGCCGTGGGGCCGCCCCGGGCGCGCGGGCCCGAGGCGAGGCGAGGGCGGCGGGGGCGCCCCCAGCGGTGCCCTCCTGCTCGGGGGGCAGCAGCGCGTCCAGCCGCTGCGCTGTGGCACCGGCTCCCTCCCGAACCCGCCCCGTTCCCCGAGGCGGCGCGGGGCCTGTCCCGCCTGGCGGCAGCCGCTCGGAGGCCGCCCCACAGGCCGCGCTGTGGGTGCCCCGTGCCCCGGAGATGCCGGAGAGGGATCTCCTCAGTGAGATCTCTGCAGGTGAGGGACGTGCAAAGTTAATTCCTCATCCCAGGAAAGTAAAGCCTCTGCAGTGAGTTTACAGCCAGTGGCTCTGCCACCAAGAAGGCACACTCACAGTTTTCCACCACTCCCATCTTCTGGACCTTTCCCTCATCTGTCTTTATTTTTCAGACACTAAGGAAGGGAGTGGTCTTATATCAGTGGGTGTGGAAGGGATTTTTCTTTATGATTTAAACCATTAACTAGGATTTAATAGAGGCTCACCTCTTATAATTATGTTTCTCTATCTCCCTTTTCTTGTTGAGCATTAAAATGCTGCTTCTTGTTCATCCAGATGATGAGATCATTAGTGAGGATGAAGAGGACAGTCCTTTGGGAGATGATCCTGAACATACAGAACAATATGAGACATTACTGGAGATACTTGAAGAGAGTGTGTTCCAGAAATGTAGTGAGGAAGAGGCCTACCAGAACCAGCACATGCTAAAAATGCGCAAGAGAGACTCCCTTGGGGAGACAAAGGATAACTGTGTTCATCTGGAATTAGATTTTAGAAAATTTCACAGCATCCTTCTTGATCAAGAAGATGCTGTAGCAGATGATCTCCATGAATACAGTGAGTGTGAAGTAGTCTTCAGTCAGACATCAAATGTTCTGCAACATGAAATATCCCAGATAGGTGAGAAACCTCACAAATGTATTGAATGTGACAAAAGCTTTTGCTGGCACTCTGATCTAGTTAAACACCAGAGAACCCACACAGGTGAGAAGCCCTTCATATGCAGTGAGTGTGGGGAAAACTTCAGTGTGAGCTCCCACCTTATCACCCACAGAAGAATACACGCAGGAGAGAGACCCTACTGTTGTCCTGACTGTGGGAAAACCTTCAGCCGAAACTCACACCTTAGAAGTCACCAGCGAACCCACACTGGCGAAAGGCCTTTTGAATGTATGGCATGTGGAAAAAGCTTCAGTGATTCCTCAACACTCATTCAGCATCAGAGAACCCACACGGGTGAGAAACCCTACGCTTGTTCCAGATGTGGGAAATGCTTCAGCCGGAGTTCTCACCTCAGCAGGCACCAGAGAGTTCATGTGGGAAAAAGATCCTTTCCGTGTGCTGAATGTGGGAAGAGTTTCCAATATGAGAGTCACCTCACTCAGCACTGTAAACTGCACCTGGGATAGAGAGCAAGACACCTTGTCCCTCAGGCCTGTGAGCATTGCAGTTCTGCCTTTATGCATGCATAAGTTCTATGGCTGATTGAAAAAAGGAAGAAGCTGCCTTTGGGAGGAGAGGATCTTTGCCATAGTGCAAGAACATTGCAGAACTGATGACGTGGCAGAGGTTAGAAGTGGGAATAGGCTTGCTGTCAGAAGGGCAAGATTGATACGGGGATTTAGGGAAGGGCAGGGTAGCAAGAAATAGGAACTTTGGTGAAGAAGGAATTTGGTGGTAAGAAAACTGATTTCTGGAAGTGTAGCCACTGAAGCCACTGATCTCACTGTCTTACTAAGAGGCAAAGAGTAAGCTCCAGCAACTGGAGTCTCTGTTCTAGGAAATGAGGCATGGACTTGTGGAAGAAGAAAGGTCCTTTATTCTCTCCTGACAGCATCTGTAAATATTTTAGGAGCTTAGTTAAATATGGTCAAGAATATCCCAGTTCTCTAATGCATTTGTAATGTTCAAACTCTGATGTATTAACAGTCTTTCTATTAAATAGAAACCCTTCTTTGGTCATTCTCCTTCTATCTTCTCTTTCTGTGTGCTCAGACTGTCCTTTATACTGTAGTGACAGAGCAGATAATATGATTTTCCTCATCATCAGTTTCAATAAAGAGAAGAAGACTCACTTGCTTAAAAAAATAGCGGATGTTAGTGTCCCTGTTGGTACAGGGGTATCCTTTAGCTTTTGTAAGTAGGGTTGGATAACCATCTTCAGTAGTATTTTTTCATATTCATTCATTCTGAGAGTCTTATTCAAGCCTGGAGGCAATCAAGATAACCATGAATATGTAAATATTCTTGAGCTGATCTGGAATTCTACTAGTAGCTCTTGGAGCGCTGCAAATGTTTAATATTTTGGAGCCTTTTGGAGGCTTATGACCTGTGCAGACCCCTCTTCCATAAGAGTGCAATGAAAATAGGCAACTGGAGAGGAACAAAGTATGGATGGGGGTGACTGCAAGGAAACAGACTGCAGATTAAGGGGTTTGGAGGGAAATGGAGCTTGCTCTGCTGGGTTATAGGGGAACAAACATGAAGACAGGCAGCTGAAGGAAACAGCGCAGCAGATGATAAGACTGGAAGTAAAGAGCTCATGAACATAGGTCTGGTCAGGTCTGGAGAGGAACAAGGTGTGAATGGAGGGAGCTGAAAGATGGGCCATGAGTGAATATAGGAAACTCACAGTGATGACAGTCTGAATGGAGGAATGTGAAGAGGCACAGAGTGAGAGTGAAAGAAGCTGGTGGGGAAAACAGCAGGAATAAGTGGTCCTGGAGAAGAGCAGAGCACAAAGGTGGTAACTAGAAGGTAAGCACATCTGAAAAAAAAAATGAAGGGAAACAGTAAGAGCGGAAGTAACTGAAGGAAAAGAGGAGTCTGAAAGGGAAGAGAGGGCAAACAAGGAAATGGAAAGGAACAAACTGTGAAGAGAGGTAATGGAGGTAGAGCAAAGCTCTGTTGGAGTAGTCTGGTGAGAAAACTGCCCCAAATTCAGGAAATTGCAGGGGTAAAGAATATGAATGGTGAGGGCTAGAGAGGAAAGCAGGCATGAACAGATCCAGAAGGAGAGAACTTGAAGGGAGGGGAAGAGTGCATAGATCTGCTGGACAAGAGGGGGACAGAGCTCTGTCAGAGGCATCTAACAGGGAGTCATTTGTCCTAAACTTAGCAATGCTTTTGAGACACTTTATCCCTTAATATTCTTGTATACAGGATAGGATGTTACAGTCTGGTTGGATGGACGAGATGAGCAAAAAAACTATGGATGATTGGGCTTAGATCAGTTAGTGCTCAGCAGGTCATACTCTTTTAGGAGGCTGGTGCTGCAGGTGTTTGTCCTGGGATCTATTCTGTTCAGCAGGACTGGTGGGAGGCAATGGAGCAAGTCTGCAGATGACACCAAACTGTGGGGAACAGCTGATACACTTGAGGGCAAACTTGCCATTCAGAGGTGCCTCGTCAATTTGAAGGAATGGACAAGAGCATCCTTAAAAATTCAACAAAGTCAAGCATGCTATATATGCTTGACCTATATGCATTTATGACTATTTATGCAAGGGCTCATCTGGGAAGGAAGAAGCCTGCAAAAACGCAGTCTGGGAGCTGGCTGACTAGAAGTAGTTCTGCTGAAAAGAGCCGGGGATCTTGGTAGACAGCAAGCTGAGCATGAGCTGGCAGTGCCCAGCTTTGCTGTCCTGGCAGCATAGGGAGCCTGGGCTTTATTAATAGCTCTTCTTCAAAATAAGATAAACCTGTGTGCCTACCAATAAAGGTTTCACAGAGGAAACCTTCACCATCCTGAAGAGAATAGAGAAACTCCTACCTTTTAGGGCTATTTTCAGCAAGTGAGCTGTAGATTTAAGCAGCAAATGCTGGATCATGTGTAAAAGGGTATGTGCTCACAAGTTCTGTGGTTTTGGCTGTGAAATAAAGCTATACTTTCTGCTGAAACTTACAGGACCATTAGAAAAGCACGTGCTCTATCAGCTAAAACTAACCTTTTTCCCTAGCTGAGAGCTGGAAATAGCATGAAATTATTTTCCAGTACTGTTTATTTCCCCAGTGTCCACGAATGTCCTGACTCTGCCGTGGAAACTTTTTAGTGACCATGGCTGTCCTGGAATATTTTTCTGTTTTTCATCTTGTTAAAGCTGTTGTTCTGTTGGGCAGCCATTATATTTATTGCAAAATCAGTAACTAAGAAAATGAGAATCAATGAGGAACGGTCTTAAGCTGGCCAAAGGAGGGACCCTCTCTTCCTCCTCCATGAATCTGTCCTTACTAACTATGTTGCACTTATATTATGCTTTATACCTCACAGTGTTTACCATGCCCAAATTTGTTCTTGTTCTTGTTCTTAAGACTGATAGGTGAATGATAGGCAAAGCTAAAAACTGCTCTTGAGAAACTCTAACACCATTTTCAACCATGTGGCTTCTGCATGCCGGGTGTTCAGTAATGCTCGTAAGAGTTCAATGACTTAAGAACAAGTCAGCTTATTCATACTTTTTTATACAGTATAGTCATAGTTCTAGGAAAAATTGTGCCATGATTGCTTTTCCAGAAGTGGAGTGGAGTAAAAAGAAGGGCTGATGTATTTAAACTGTGGAGTCTTATTAAAATAATGTGTTCATGCCATGCAAGATGTCAAGGTGGATGTGAGCTATACAGTAATGTAAACCCGATTAGCCTGTTCTCCACAAAAATGTGAACATTTCACATTTATTCTATTTTTTGGCGGGTATGGTGGAATGTTACCCAAATTCTCCATTTAAATACTTTTCAGTTTGCTTCTGCTTCTGTTCTCCTAGCTTTCCTCCAGCTTGTCAGCCTGCTTGTTTAGCCAGGTGTCAACTCCAACCAAGACCTAGGCTGCCTTGTTTTTCAAATACTCCCTTCTCTGCGGGACTATGGAGGCAATCCACTGACTTGTGCACTGCTTGGCCTCCTCCCATGTGTAGCGGGGCACGTAGCCAAAATCCTTCTGTGCCTTGCTGTAAGAGAAGGTGAATGGGGTGTTCAGCAGAGTGACCAGGTGGCGGTTGGTAGAGGGGATGTATCTGACAAAGGGCCTGAGCAAGAAGCTCACTATCTCCAGCAGCAGTGAGAAGTAATACAGCACTGTCAGCGGCATGGGGAGCCGGGGCTCAATTCCAAATCCCAGGTCCTTAGTCAGCTCGTAATTCAGATCAGCGTAGCTCACATGAGGAGTGTCATCAGAGATGTAGTAGAACTGCCCCCTGATGTGCTTGGCTTTCTGCGGGACCTGCAGGGCTTTGGCTGCCTGTACATGTGCCCAGGCGATGTTTCCCACGTACACGGGGTTCACCAAAGCCTCCTTCCTGGAGAAACGTAGGTAGATGTTTTTGTTCAGTAGACTCTTATCCAGATGACCCTGAAGAAATGGACATCCTTCTCCAAAAATGTACATGGATCTCAGGGCACATGTCAGCAGCACACCACCATCCTTTAACAGCTGGCCATCGGCCTTCAGCACAGAATCCTCTGCCAGTCTCTTACTTTGGGCATAAGGAGATTTTGATATACTCTCATAAACTGTATCTTCATCACCATTGAAAACTGGGTCACCTCTGCAGTTTGGGCCTGCTACTTCTATAGTGCTGGTGTATATGAAGTGCTGGACGTTACAACGGGTACATGCCTCCAGCAGGAGCTGAGTACCTTCAAAAGAGAAACGTGTGAGTCAGGTTGCATGCAGCTGCGTTAGCTGACAGACCATGATTTTAGTCAGAGCAATGTCAGGCAAAATTTTTGTCAGAGCAATTTGACCATGTGGTCAAACATCATAGAGTAATATGTAGTGAGCAGTTTGTTGCTTGTGTATGTATCCATCTCTTATTTTTTGCATATTCTGTCATTTACTTTGGACATCACTACTGCATTAATGCTGTTAGTGTGACTTACTGCATGAACTATATATCACATTAAAAGTACAAGATTTCATAAAAATCCTACCACAATGTTTTCAATAGCAAGAGCAGAGATAAACCAGCAACTCCATGTTCTCTCAAATAGCCAAAGATGTCAAGCTAAGAAATTGCACCCAAAGAAGAAATAAATATTTTAATATATTATAGACTCTTTTCCTACTGAGATTTGAGGCAGAATTACCTTATTTGATGTTCACAATGTAATTAAGAGATAATAATGTATAAAAGAATCGATGACTTTGGAACAAAAGATACAAGTGAGGCCACAGAATCTTTGACAAGGGAATGTTATGAAATGGTTGATATGAAATGGCTCCAGAAGGGCCATTTCTAAATGGGGGGGATAAATCCTAGGGATAAAATTAAACACTTGCAGTTTATTTATTGCATAAATGTTCTAACAAGTCTTCTCATTCTCTTATGACAATAAGTAAAGCCAGTAATGCAATCAATGTTGGCTAGTCTGGCTGAAGAGAATATAATGAATAAAAGGATTCAACGGCCTAAGAAATACTGTCAGGAAAATATGGATCCATTAATGAGCAAGGAATGGCATTAATTGAGCTGAATATTGTTAGGACACTAAGATTCTTCTTTTCAAACTTGAACAAGAAAAAATAAAGTTGCTATGACAAATGGAAAGTAAATCTAGACAAGGCTTTGAAAAACACTAATGCAATGCAAAGTAAAATAGTTATACAGCAAAAAAAAACTAATGTGAAAAATGAATTCATGCAACCGTATGACACAGAAGCCGTGCTCTTCTGGAAAATGCTTAGCTATTCTTGCCATCAATGATATTTTAAAGATGAAGGAAACTAATAATTTTTAAAATTTTCTTCCTCAAGCTGCATCTAAAAGGATACCATACTTCTGAGGGATTCTCTGTGAAATGTGAGACAGAGCAAAGAAAACTTGCATCATGGCAAGTTTAAATTGTAGTTCACTGAGGTTCTCTCTGTCTCCTCACTGAATTTTGGATTCAGAGATCTTGCATGGCTTGCTTTTCTGCACCACTTTTTTTGAGATCACTCTGAAAGGCTCAAAATACAGAGGTCCTCAAGTGCAGGATGAGGTTGCTAAAAAAAGTGCAGACTCTCGGAGCCCAACCCCTGTCACAGTCACGTGGCCTTTGCTGCAAGACCAGCTCTCACAAGGCAGGTGAGGTTCTGTCTATGTTTCCCTTTTATGACTCTTGTTTTTGTAGATCTATATTTGAAACCAGCTGGATTTTCATTTAAAAACAAAATGGTGGGTTTATTACTTCTCTGGATTGTGAGCATTCTGGTCTGGTTCCTTGTCACATCTGTACTGGAAGAGTTTTGTTTTCAAAGAGAAACACAACTTCCACCCTGCCTATCAATGAGGAATATAGCAGTGCTCTTAGGGGTTTGGAAAGCCAGGGGAGCAACAGAGGAGCCAGGAAGAAAAAGAGGGAAACAGAGAGGAGGACTTCAGTATTTCTGGACTGATCTCAGGGGACTCTAGGAGCAGGACTGGTCTGTGCTTTCATCCTACCAGATGTTATCAGGTGTTGTCCGTGGGAGATAGAATGATTTATGAAAGGCTGGGTGGTTTTTGCTTAATTCTGAACCTTCCTGAAGAATGAACTGGTCAAATTGAAACTCACTAACTCCATCTCCTTTCTGCTTTTGAGATGTTGATATATTTGCAGGGGTTCAGACAATACTATCTGCTGTGGAGAAAAAGATGGTAGCAGAAAATAAACAGCTCTATAAATGCCCTTTCCAAATTACCACTGCTCTATCTTTATTTTTCCTACTTCTCAATGCACAGGCTTGTGCCTCTTTGCCCTTCCCTCCTGAAAGGGAGCTCAGAAGCTGCCTTCTGGACTGTAATCTGTGTTCACTTTTTAATTTTGGTTTTGACTGAACAAAAACGAGCAGGTCTGGAAGTTGATGAATCACCAATACTTTTGTAAGTAGTGGAACACAGAAGTATATTACTTATTTGTCTGTGCTGAAGCCCTTCACCTGTGGTAGAGACGAACAAAGGACAAAGAGATCTTCATGTAAATAAGCACTAATCCTCACCAAAGAGCTGAGGCAATGCGGCCAGGGAGGCCCATGAGGTTGTTCTTTGGGGAAATAAATTGAAATTTCCTGATTCCCGATATCGCATACACCATTCCAAAGACAAATCACTCCTCCTTCGTTTAATCTTTTCATGAGAAAAAGGGACTCCTTTGTAAAAAGGGAGATCCTGTCACCAAGTGACAGCTCTTCAAAAGGGACAGGCGAGGAAGGAAAGGACGTGGGGTAGCGATGTATGGTAGGGAGTGTTTCAGTTGCATGGAGCTCCAGGTGGGTGATGGAAAAGCCGAGTGTTTATGGGTCAGGATCAGGGGGAAATCCTGCAGTGCACGACTGGTGCGGGCTGAGTGTGAAGAGGGACAGCTCTCTATAGGGCTTTACATGTGCATGTTTTGCATTCATATGAATATTTGTGCAAGATGCACAACATCCCAGTGAATCTGTCTCAAAAAGCCGGGTAAACTGTTCCCTTCCCTGAGCAGCTGATACTCAGCACTTAATAGACACAGGCCTAGGAAAGGTGCTTCTCCGACTCACCTATTACGTTGACTTCCCAGAGCAGCTGCTTCTCTATGAGCCCCAAGGTGTCAATGATGGAGGCTGTGTGGATGACAAGGGAGACCCCCTGGCAGGCAGCGTGCAGGAATGTCACATCTCGGATATCTCCTTCCAGGATTTTCACCTCTGTCTTGCCCTGGAAATCTGCAAGAGCAGCAGAAAACAAAGAAAAGGACCTCACTAGCATCCTAATCTGTGCTAAAAGGACTGGTGAAGCCACAGCTGGGAAGTGCTAAATACCTAAGCACAGGAGGGATATTTTAAGGCTGCCAGACAGAAGGTATTTTTCAGTGACAGTGCTGTAAAGTGCTAATTACAGTGACATAGAAGTCTATGTTGCATTACCTATCATATTTTTGGAGCCAATATTCAACAGTCTTTTTTTTTTTTTTTTTTCGGAGAAGCCTTTCTCACTGCAAGCAAGAGTCTGAAGGCTGCGATATGACTTTTTAAAATTCATGGGATGGCCAAGGTGGGAAAGAGGTAACTAACTGGTGATTGTATGTTTATAAGTGTTAACCCAGATGCCAAAAAGCCAGCCACTGCATGCTCTTGTCTTCAAGGTGATGAATTGTCTCTCTCCACCCACAGCCTGTGTACCCAGATCTGTGTTCACACTTATTTCCTGCCCCATGACCTTGCCCATATTGCAGCTTTTCCTTTGCTGCTCTTCTAATACATTCCATATGGTCTCCCACATTTCTTTTATGCACCTCAGCCATGAAGTACTGCACCTCTTGTTACTCCAGCTCTAGCTCCATCTTAGTTTCTGTAATACGGGACCTCTTTTAGGATGCACATCCTTCTGCTCCACATCTAAGTTCTCAAGGCTGCTGTCCTGAGGCAATTCGGCCCTGACTTTAACTGCTGCTACCTTGGTTTAACTGCTCTTTCCCCAGCAGCTAATGTGTGTGACACCTAGTTTCAGGAGCCACAAAGTTTTGCAGACAGTAGCTGCCTTATACAGCCTAGAACTACGCTACAGAACTTAGCCGGCCCAGCCACGTTCCCTGATTGCTGCTGCTGCTGTCCTAGGAAACTTGCTGATGCAGCTGCATGCCACGGGAGAGGACTTGCTCAGCATGACTTACCGCATTCAAGCAAGGAGTGTGATTACAGAAAAAAGACAATCCTCTTGTAAGCCTCTGCTGTGCCTGCACTAGAGGGCTCCCCAGGCACAGCTACGGTGACGGGCCCGGGCAGACACTCTCCCCTCTCACAGTCCCTCGTAACCAACTTCTAAAGGAAAAGCACTCAGGCGTGTAGCTGCTGAGATTCACATTCATTCAAATGTGAACGTACATTTTTTATTTACATTAAGTTAATCCTGTATTAATTTCACATTTATTCTGCTGCAACAGGTTTGATTGATAGTCTCTTCTCATTCTGCTGGCCAGAAATGCAGAATGAGAGCTTAACTGCTTAATATTTCAGAAGCTGTCACTAATCTGAAGTTAGTGCCCTCCTACTCCAGTCACTGACACATGTTATCTTGTGCTAATTTATTTTACAGAATGCAATGATTTTCTTAGGGCTTTTTTTCCAAGGAGTTCACACTGATGTCTCCTTGTATGATAAAAAGGTGCTAGATGATGTGGATGGGCACATAATCTAGGCACTTGCTAGGCAATTTATGTTAAGCATTTGCCAATTAAATTTGCTCTAATAGGTGTTCTCCATGAGTAGGGTTACAGTACTTTAAAGGATTGAGATCTGTGGCTTTCAGGGTATAAATTCTGATATTCAAACATGCCTGTGTTAGAGCAGGCACCTCATGCCTGGACAAAAGTCAGGCAGTTGGAGGTTTTATTTGCACATGCAAATGAAAGCTTTTTGAAAAATAAAGAGAAAATTGGCCTTTTGGAGGCTGATCACCAGGACAGTTGGTATCAGTTGCTGGAAAGCTGCTGTCTAGCCTCTTTGTGCCGTGTTTGGGCTTGCAGATTATTGAAGTTGTGTGTGATATGAAGCAGAAAAGCTGCTCTTGAAGTGCAGCAGTAGGGAAGAGATGAAATGGTCTTTTGGCAGGCGTTCATCTGTGTTCCTGTGTGGTCAGCAGAAGTTGGTGAGTACAATGTGTGCCTTTTCACTTTACTGACATCAGCTAGTTCTCAGGTCTGGTGCATTGATCATGTTTTGTTCTGGGGAAAGGAGAGAGAGAACTATGCAGAGAAGGAAGCAGAGACATAAAACTGAGTCAGACACAGGTGATGTTTGCAGTCTGAGATGGACAGCAAAGACAGACACTTGACTTAAATGTGCACAAACCATTGCTCAGGCACCAAACAAACATCTGGATCAGGTGGGTGTGGAAGAGTCCCCTCTCTAAGAGTCTCCCCCTCTCTGGGCTAAATACCGCCCAGCTCTCTGTTTTTGCGTGCTATGATTGCAAGACAGCAGCTAGCCACTGAGGAAGCTCTCTCTATAGCACCTTGCACAGCCTCTGAGCCTTAAGCAGCCTGCTTGCTATAGGGTTGTGTCTTCTTGGAAATGTAATGATTACTCAGTAAGATTCAATGTCCTTTTGTGAACGGTGTAATCCAATTGTACTATTTGCTCCAAACAGTCTCTCTCTTCTCTGTTGTTTATATTTAAAGCAAGAAGAAAGTCTATATGACTAGAGTAGCTTGAATTAATTTGTGCTCTTGTATGAAGTTTTGAATTACTGTGGGGTAGATGGTGGGGAAAGGCATTCCGCTCAGGACAACTCTCAATTTTTCTGGTTACATGGAAGTCTCATAACAATGATCCACTTTATGCATTCATAAGAGGAAGTCTGAAAATATGTCTATGAAAATGTATCTTTTACTTCTACAGAAAAATGCAATTTATTAGCTTCTTTAGCTTTGAGAAGCTAGTATGTTTATGCTGGTCCCATTTCAAGTACTAGGTTATTCTGTTGCTACTACCATTTCTATTTTGAATGCAAGGACAAAAGCAAATGAATCTGACTGCAAGGTTGAGCTAAAAAGACAGGATTCAATTTGCCACAGTAAGAACTTTCCCCAGCTGTATTACTCCCATACTTTCCTTCTGCTTTGGAGCAGTCCTGGGTTACCAGTGCCCATTTTAAAAGCCTGACATTAAATGGTGAAGTGTCACCTGGTCTGTAAGTTTCAGGCTAGGAAAAATTACATGAAACAAAGGTTAGGGTGGGGAGGGAGATGTGCAGAGGGAGGAGACAGAAGGGAGTCAGTGCTCTGAAATGCTGAGAAGCTAGAGAGAGGAGAGGGAGAGAGGAGAGAAAGAGAGCAAGCTAGAAGCTTCTCATACCTTTCGAAGAAGGTGTCAAAGGTGGACAAAAATGATTCTATAAATGGAGAGACAGGAATGATATGAGGATAATTTGGAAGTGAAGTTGGGAGAGGAACCAAAGCATCTAACCCCATGACACGTTCATTCTCAATGGCACAGTTCAACTGGGTGGAATCTAGGCTTGAGATCACGGCACTTTATATTGGTTGGAGCATCCTGGACTCACTGGGAATGTGCAAGACAGAAAATGCCTCTATTCTAGGCAGGCTGAGCCTGATGGCCAGGGTGTCAGCAGGACAAAGAGAGTGTCCCAGATAGAAAGAGGCACCCAACTGAGCTGTAACTTGCACTTGCTCCTGCAACACTGGCACTGCAGGGACATTGCAAATAAAAGGTGCTCAAGAATTTAATGAGAAAGAAAATAACCGGGCTGTGCTCCAGGCTATTCAAGAAAACCAAACATGTGCCAGCAAGCAGAGGAGTTTCAGCTCCTCTGAAGAATTAGTCATCACAGTAAAAATAATGTATGTGGGGATACTCAGCCCCATAGGCTTTGTAGCAGCCCTGTGTTTAGAAAAGGAGTCACTGTGTCTATTTTTTAGAAAAAGAGTCACTCTGACAAGAGGAGGGCTTGAAAGTGAATGGGAGAAAAACATTTCAGGTAGTCCCAGGCACAGGCAATAGCAGAGCACTTGAAGAGAAGTGACTATAGAGGCTGATACAGACAGGCCTGCCAGCTATGGTGCAGAGCCTCAGGGCAGTCCAAACACACCTGAAATGCCAGCCTGGAGTTCCCACTACCTGCTCCTAGCAGTTAGCGCCGGTAACTCATTTGTCCCTTCCTCCTCCGCTGGCCAGATAAGCAGCAGCAATGGGGCTAGGGTTGGGGCGGGGGGGAGTGGGTGAAATGTGTCTGATACAGTTTAGAGGAGGAAAGGGAAAGCATAGGAAAAGAGTGCATAGAGCTTTCTTTTTAACAAAAAGAAGCAGCAAAACAGTCCAGGCAGGACTGCACTCACCCAGACAGATCCCAGGAAGCTCAAAAGAGCAAAGAGCAGAGATGCTTCTGCCACTGCCTGGCTGCATCAGTGCTAAACCCACACATTCCTGGCACTGCTGGTTTTGTCACTGCGGGAACTGCCTGGAAATCAGGACAGGAAGGGCTGCTGCCATGCCTGTGGGGATCTAGCAAATCCTCACTGACACGGCATGTAAGGTCTAATGAGGAGGAAGTCAGCAAACAAATAAAACTGTCCTAAAGGCTTGTGTAATTTGCACCAAGGTTATGGCTCACTATTGCTATTATTTGATGCCACTTAACCACTTTATAGCAAAACTGTAGCTCATTAGCAAATTGTACAAGGTTATTCCATAAGAATATGCATACATAATTCTGGTATGCAGGAAGATTAATTTTGCAGTTGAGACCTTTGATGCAGGAAAGCACTGTGAAATAAAAGTCTATGATGTACACATTTAGACACTCAATTGAATTTAGGTTCCTGTGTGCCTGTTTGTAGACATGCTGAGGATCCCAGAAAAGTAGGACATTTAAAATACAGCATTATGTGTTCCAGCCTTGCCACAGTGTATCCATGAACCCATTTTGCCCTCTCCATTCCCTTCAAGAAGCTAAAGTACTGACTTAGCCTTTGCAAATGGGACATGTCTCTTCTTTGCTCAGCAAACCAGGTCTTTGCTCTCCAGGAAACTATGATAATAATATGATAACCAGTTTTTAAGCTGTGCCGTTACAACCCTCAGCCAGGGCAGGTCACACCAAGCCTGCAGAAAGTCTGACTAAACCAGGCTTGAGGAGAACCATCATCATTTGCGCTCACAACCCGGTCTCTGCAGTTAGACTTTCTTATCAGAGGCCAAGTCTACATTGTCTGGGCTACGCTGCCCCCCCAAGCACAGACATGCCTTGCTTTTTTTCTCCCCCAGCAGAAATGTGAGGATTTTCACTGATTTTCGTCTTTGGGATTTCCAGCTGGTCAGGCTGAAGGCGAGACCTATCTTTTGGTGTAGCAAAGCCTCAGGTTTTGGCAAGGGCAACTGTTGCTTTTGCATTTTACCTCTGATTTCTGTGCTAAAGGGAGAGGGAAAGATGGGGAGGGGAGGGAAATATGACTTGGTTGAGATAAAACTTGCATCTGCAAAGCTGAGGTGGAGGATGTGAGGTAAAAACTTCCAGCCTAAGATAACATAACATATACCCACGACACATAGGCTAGGACCAGATGGCACTTACTTCCGAAGCTCCTGAGGGCTTCAGTGCTAAAAGCTTTGTCCAGCAGTCGGATCTCAGCCAGTGGCTCCTCTTCTTCCAGCAGCAAGCGGACAATCCTCCGGCCGAGAAACCCTCCTGCTCCTGTCACCAGACAGCTCACCCCGGCCAGCGACATTGCTCTGGGTTGCTCCTCAGCTGCAAACTACCAGCTTGGAATGGCTCTTTCACCTCCTGCCTGAAAACAATGAACAGATGATATCACAACCTCCAAGGTCTTTAAAATCAAGAGATATTACCGGAAGGAAACATTAATGCAAAAACAATCTCTAAATGATATGCAAGATGCTAAACCAACAATTTTTGAAACAGTTCTTACTTTTCTTGCTCTTTCTATTGAGAAATAGCCTAGACATCTTTTTTTCCATGCAAAGAAAAAGATATTTACAAAGATTTATAAACAGAAAAAAATAGCAAATGCGAGAAGGCACAAAACCAAATTCAATGCTATGCACAAACCCACAAATATCTGTCCCAGTCCTTGAGTTCCACCTTTCTAGCATTCGGAAGACTGTAGAGGAGGTTTGCCTGTATTTATACCCTGAACAGCACCACCTCTCTTCCCCTGCTTCCCCCTCCCTCTCTCATGTCTCTGATGTTACAAATGACCAAGTGCTTCCACTCCTCCCCTCCCATGCAAGAGGAATCATGCTGTCGGTCCAAATGCCTGGTTTAATGTGGTGCTGTGTGTCTAAGTTACAGGAGGGTAAATCACTGTGCTGCTTTTTCTCTGTAGGTGTACTTACTTGTTTTACAATGTTAATATGAAGAAAAATTAAATGTAAATAGCAGGAGAAGCCATTCACACTGCTCATGTCACGGTGTTTGTGAGGTGGCTTTTACTGCTCTAGTTTCTTGTCTGCTGGGCTCACCTACCATAGCACAGGTTTCTCATGCTCTGCAAGACCGAAAATGCACTTCTGGGATTCTTGATTTATTTATACTATTGTATGTATTACAGTTTGCTTGAGCTTCAAAGTGTTGAAATGGTCTAATCTACAGAGAATTTCAGTGGAATTATCTAGTTAAAATAAGACTATGAGGCCCATTTGTGCTTTCACAGTAGACTGTCAATACTTTGTACATCTCCAAAATACAGAGAACATGCCCAGGTATCTCTCATTAGGGATTCAAGTCAGTTTTAATGACGCTCTTCCAACGTGAGATGAGGGCAGGGTTTTGATCTGAAGTCCACATGACCCATTCTGCCTTTCCAGTGTTTTTGATACTCTCAGGACACCCTGACTTGAGCTCTTTTCCTTTCTCTCAAACAGGGTTTTTCAAGTTTGCTTACTGAATCAGGATGCTAAATAGCTGCCTTAAACAGGGAACACTGCCATGGCCAAAAAGAGGCCGCAAAACAAAACTGCTGAAAACACTGCAAAGGACTCCCGATTTCAGGCATAGCTGTATAGTCCTCTGAAAATGACTTGCTTGTTTTCATTCAGCTAACTCCTAAACTCCATTTCTACTCACTACAAAGAACCCTAAATAAAAGATACAGAAGCAGCACCCCCACATCATTACTTTGTAGAGCAAGATTGGGCCTCCAAGTAACAGTAGGAAAGCAAAAATATTTTGAGTCCAAGGAGCAGGCGAGAGCTCCCAGCTGACACAGATGATAAGTTTCGGCAACTGTTTCAATGACAGCGTCCTTGAAAACCCTTCCCTTATATCAACAAAGCCTTGTGAAAATTGTTATCTGTGCTGCTTTCCTTGGCTACTCGCAGAGAGGACCTTGACATTGTATGTTCTTATCAGAAGCTGGTGCAAATGAATTTTATGCCACGCATGCGTTCTGCAAGGAGAAATAGCTCATTAAGTCCTGCTGCTATACTTAGTTTTCTCTGTGCATGCACCTTGGATATGATACTTCCATTTTACATTTAGAAAGGAAATTAAATGCCTTAAAGAGGCATTAGAAAAGCAGGCCATGCAACAGAGCTTCTTAGGAAGTGAATTTTTTTCCACCACTGACCTTAAGCATTAGAACTCCCAAGTTTAGTAGAGCACAGTGCTTTATATGAGAATATGAATATTGTGCAACTATAGGCAATTATAGGGAGATCTGCTGCTGTACTTTAGTGCTTCAAGGTACTACTAGGCCAAATGCTTGAGGCAGTTTAAAGTAATCTTCCACACTGCTAAGCAACATCCTTCATTAGAACTGCCATTTGCAGATGTCAGCGATCAGCACAGCAGCAATGCACTAAATTCCAGTACAGATGCACATACTCACCAGGCTCTGGTGCTTCATGCAGATTCCACTGGAGGTATTTTTTTTTTTTTTGCTATTTCTCTTCAAAATTTTTGTGTGCTGTCACTGTGTGGTGTAACAGCCTACCTGTACTGTGAACAAAATGATCAAGCTTTGCTATTTTCCCAAGTAGACCAAGGCAGATACCTCAGCCTGTAAGCCACAGAGAGTGTTTATAGAACATTTTCAATGAGCAGGGAGGCCAGTGCACACCTCACCTCTAGCCCCCATCATCTTCATCAAATTCAAGGTTATAGCATGAGTCTGGGATTTGAAGTCTAACACACAGCTTTGCATCATCTAAAAAGTTAAAAAATGTGACATTCTATGTATGTCAAGGCACAGTCATTTTTAACTATGTTGTCTTCTCCTCCTTGACTTCATCATAAAACAAGACCTTCACAATATGTTGTTTTTCCAAGTACACAGATGAATGCTAGACTTGATTGCATGTCTAAGAGTATTTTTTTAGAACATCAGATTTGCCAAATTTTGGCTTATTTTGGAGAATTATTCTACATGAATTAAGTGGACAGTTTGGTCCATGTAGAATTTAGCATATTCCCACCTGTGGCATCTGTGATCTGCTAAACCGGGGACAGTGTTGGTCTTCCAGATTTATTGGTGGCAGGTTTTCAAAGAACAAATTTTCTTCAGCACGAGGGACAGAGCGTAAAAAAGGGGGCATGAGATTTTGGCATACGTTGGCAAAGACTTAATTCAAATCATAGAAAATTTGCAGAGGCTTGGAAAACTTGTATCACAGATTTGGAGTCTTTAGGCTTTGTTTTTAAGCTCACCCACCAAATAGCTTTTTATTCTTTTCTCCTCAAAAATGTTCTTCTCCTAACTGGTATTTGTGATTTTTGTCTTTCATCTTTTCCTGTTCTGAAGTCCCCAAGAAGTCCAGCTGTATGCTCTCCATTGCCTCCAATTAGGCAGTTAAAGATAACATATACCTTGCTCAAGACTGAACCAGCATGGTTCTCTCACTTTTCTTGCAAATCCTTGAAGTCCATCAAAATGTGTGATGCGGTGTTATTCCTTGGGCTTATCTGCAGGACTGTGAGCCTGCCAGCAAGGTTTGTTATTACTGGAACACAGAGGAAGGCCTCCATGTGAAGGCCTCTCTAAGATCACTGCAGACACATTTATCTCTGGGAGAAATTCACGTCTAAACAGAGAGATTCACTGTCTAAACTGACAGTGTTAGTACCACAGCAATTCCTCTCTTTTGACACTAAGGCATGATATTTGCACTAACTTACTAGAAATACCTTCTCTTTCCCTCACTCTTGCATTTGTCATTAAGAAAATAAGAACAATATTACAGTAATGGTTGATAATCCTGCTCAATTCTCAGATCCCCTTGGCAAAGAGGGGATGGGAAAGAACAGTACATTCACAGGCCTGAAGTCTGCCTGGTATCTAACAAGACAGCTGTACAAAGAGGAAGCTGCAGCCTGTTAAAAAGTAGAGCACTTTCCCACTGCTCCATGTTTTTGCTCATTGGTTGCACAACTGCACAAAAAAGAATCTGGACAAAGGTTAGCAGAAAACAAATAAAAATGCCAAGGCCTTGAGTTCCAGACCAGGATAATAATCTGAACTTGGTTCACTCTTCTAAATCTTCTTTACATTTTAGCAATATTCATTTGAAATGCATATAATTTGTGTTTTAGTAAACTCTTACACTGCATCAAGAAAAGTAATTATATGTTTAGACTATTTTGTTGTTATAAAGTATACTGTAAATTAAAGGTGGAAGCAGAGAGGAAATTAAATTCCTCTTTGTAAATATTTAAAAGATTTGGAATGTCAGAGTTAAAAGTTGCACAATCTTTTACCAATTGTGCACCATGAGAGCCTTTAAATCCGGGATCCACTTCTACTTTGCCATCATCCCCTACTCAGTGCACAGCAAGAAGAATGACAAGGAACAGGTCAGAGTAATCCAAAATACAGGCATGATTATTTCAGTGATTTAATATATGCCAATCTGAAAGGCAGAAGGCACTGGGGGAGGTGGGGGGAGCGGATAAGGAGTGTTTTAGGTCACTATATAGTTGGGAAGTTAGATAGAAAAATAGCATGACTGCAAATAGCCAATAGCAAGACACATCTCTTGGAAGACAAGAGATTTCAGCCCCACCAATGTTGCTCCTTCAGGACAGCCTGCAGTCTCAAACACCTTCTGCTGACCTTCTCACCTGCAGGTGCCTCATGTCTCTTCAAGTCTGACTGCATGTGTATTGCAGTAGACATACTGAGAGCTGCAAATCAGTGGCCTCTAAATAATTTTGGTTTAAGAAATTTATGCTGCCTCATACAGCAAATCTATTGAACAGCTTTATCAGACAAGGCATTTTTTTCTGGTTCTCCTCTGAAGGGCTCACATGCCTTTCAGCTCCATCTGTCTTTTTACTCTCCATCCCCCAACTTAAGTGCCATGGGAAAAACAGAAAAGATGAGTTACAAGCTGTTTCTTTTCAAATCACAAAATAAACCATGAAAATGGTTTGAAATGAATGAAAATGAGCACAATGAAAATAAGCATATTTTCATTATATGAAATTACCTTTCCTTCATAACATGTTTTGTTCTTATGGTACTCAAAAAAAGTGTCAGTGAAGCTATAATAAATGAGTCTAGCAGTGCAGAGCATTTCCATCATGATTGTTTCAGTTCCAGGACATGTCTTTGCGTTTCTTTGTGTTGCTTTCACACCTGAAGGTTTTTCTTCACATTTGTAACAATTACATGCATTCAGTTTTGATAGGGAGACAGTTTTTTTCTTCACAGAAACAGAGCTTAAGTGCAGTTGTCCAAGTTTCCCACCATTTACTTTCCTATTTCACAGCATTAGCTTTACAAGACCGCAGCAACATTCACCAAAAATTCTCTGCTACAGACATCTGTTCCATCTAACTTCCAGCTAGTGGCAACAGAAGCAGCAGGCTGTTCCAATGAAAACCATTAAGGTCCTGAGCCCTGGAAGTGCCTCAATGCCCCAAGTTAGTCACTGGCAATGACTGACTTTTTGTGACTTGTTTTTTCTTTGATAATTAAAACATGGTGGAGTAAGAGAGCCAGAACCATTATCTAAAACAATGAAAATGCTTAATGTGGAACTGCCTGGATGTGCCAGGGACTACATGTTGGATCTCCTCTCCAGAGCTCAGTCAGTTGATTCAGGTCTGTCAGTAAGCACCTTCATCTAGTTCTATTGCATAAGTTGGAAGCGTCACTTCTAGTAAGTTGAAGGCTAAAAAAAACTTCATTTTGTTCTTCTGATTACTGGTGCAATGGGAGGTGGTGCTGGGGCTGCCACTTGTGCACTGGGAGCTGAGGGGCAGCATGTTCAGCAGAAGTGAGGGTACACGTGCACTTTACTCCTAAGGGAAAGTCACATTTCTGGTGTGCCAGGAGCATATCTTGACCTCAGAAGCTTATTGATAATTTCATGCAAGGATAATTGGCATTTTATTGCTGAAACTCTGCCACTTACAATTACAATTAGAGTTTGAAAACTTGCATAGGTCTGTGCTCCAAGGACTCCTTGTGCACCTTCCTTCAAGTAATTAATGGTTGAAGTATTGCCCTTCTTGCACAGCCAAATGATTTTGGAGAGCAGAATCACAAGAAGAGCTGCCTGTGTACAAGAATGGGAGCCCATCATTCCCAGTTCAAGCTGGATGTGTGGCAATGCCCAAACCGTGCTTCCTTACAAGGAGGAAAGACCAGTGTCTCAGGCCAAAACTTGGAAAGGGATTGATGAGCATGTATTTCTTTTATGTCAGAGAGCATGAGTTTACACTGGCAGCAGCCCATTATGCTGCCCTCCACTAGGCTCCAGTGACAAATACAACATGCAGGTCTCATGTTAAAAGCACCTTTGACCTCAGCTTTGAGCTGTTAGCTTGCACTGCTGCGGCTCTCATCCATGGGCAAAGTCAGCAGGGCACCATGTGAGTTACTCATGCACTACCACAACCTTATGCTGTGCTCTGAAGCTAGACAGGGCCTGGGTGTTGCTCTGTTGAGGATGCTCTGAATTAACTGTGATGTAAAGGACATCCAGGAGTGCTGTTGGGAGTGCAGGGTATTTCTGGGGTCACTATTGATTTCATTTCTCTTTTTATAAGCAGTGCAGAAGATGACCCTACTGTAAAGGGAAGCCAGGGTACCTGTTAGTTGTTGGCTGATCTAATTTTCCAGTCTGCTATGAATATGTCCGGTACAGTGAAACTACCGGAGGTAGCGGTACAGTTCTTCCACAAAGACAGACCTGTAGCTGGACTTGCAGTCAGACTAGGTAGAAAGATCATGCAGAAGAAGCAAGGAACACAGTTCATAGCATGTCTGACTGCTAGACATAATAGAATTTGGGAGCAAGGCACAACACAGGTAATGGCACGGAACAGACAGTTTTAAGTAAATGTATTTAAGCAAGTAACAATTATCTGCAGTTTTAAAGAACTTATTGGTCTCAATGAAAGAAAAGGATGATCTTTGATAGCATGGGGTCTTCCTAGTTTCCTTGGGTGCTTTTTGAAGGTTTTATCAGCAGTATGTTATAGGTTGAGCATTTGCACTTCGTTTTTCTATTTTCAGTCTGTTTTGGGACCTCAACTGTTGGCATGAGCTGCTTCTGTTCAGAGGGTGTTGCCGGAGGCTGTTCACAACTTTGAGTATTGAACTAGGTGCCGGCCAATTTCTGAGACACTAGAACAACCTGAAATAAAATAGAGAATTCAAACTTGTTAATGACAGAATGAAACTGTGGAGAAAACTTGGAAGATCTTCTCACAGAATCTCACCCTACAAGCTAATCCTGTACAAGCCACGGAGGAAGAGGTTGGCATTTGAACACCTCACAGAAGTTCTGCTAGTCTGTGGCATCTTCTGCTTAGGCACTAGACTTCCCATACAAGGATCTTTAGAGATTAGGAAAAAAGGGATCCTTATTACAGGCTGTGCAGGCAATGATCTGATGCAGCCAGGAGTAAAAGGGATACAGTAAAGAAACAGGACTGAAGGACCTTTATGCCTAAACTGACCAGAGATGGAAACTTCCAGTGCCTTTTCTTTCAGCTAAATCCAAGGTGAATTTTCACAGCCCCAACCAAAAGACCTGCTACTCTTCCTGACTTCAGTGCTCTCTTGCCAGCTTCCCTCTCAGAAAAAATGCTTGTAAGAAACTTTACTACTTGCAGAAGCAACCCAAAGAAAAAGTAACATGAATTACTCCAAAGGACTCTAGATGTCCTGTCTCTCCTAGGCAGGGTTGCCACCTATTTGGGTTTGCAGTTAAGGCAATAAAAATGTCTTTAAAGCATTATCTGAACTGGGATAGGACCATTTGTTGATGCCTGAATTCTTCTACACAGGACCCGAGGAGTAAAACATACATTGTACTTTTCTGGGGTGCCATTGGAGGCAAAATGGCACCGATTAGCTATTCAATGAGAGTCAAATATGGCATTTATAGGAGAGAGCAGAAGTAAGAGTTCCAGATCTGGGAGCCAGTGAAAGTCTGGAAAGGCCTTTTAGCACGTTGGCATCTCTCACACTTAGAGAAAAATCCTGAATCTGGTTTTTCTGAACTTGTCATGCTGAAAAAAAAAAAAAAAAAAAAAAAGGCTGCATTTTACTCCAGTACAGATTGTCAAATACTGGAAAACATGCAATTCCGAGCAGAACAGAATCTGCAGCTTTTGTTTAGGTCTTCTTAGCAGTTCTGCATTTCTTTAATTTAAATCAGATCAGAAAGCTCCTCGCTTACTCCCCCTTATAAGCTTCACTGCTGTGGCACATAAAATGCAAAGTGGATTCACAAGAAGAAAAGAATATCTCAGCTAATACCAGCACAATTCACATGCTTTCTTTCTGATTCATTAAGTCTGTTTGGATGTGAAGCTACTATTGCATGCACACCCTCTGCATCACCCGTTGAAAACAACCTGCAAAATGCTTACCAGTTAAGGCCATTGACAAACGAAACTCATCACGCAAAATCCTCAAAACATCTTGAAGACCTTCTTCACCCTACTCCAACAGAGAAAGCAGTCAGAGTGAAAGGAGCACTGGCCCATAGCTGTGCAGCAGGATGCTTTCACTGTGAGAGCTGGGACAGTCCCTTAAATCAGTGCCAGTTCTAGTCATTTATGCAGATGAACACTTGAAATGATATGATGGATGGGCTGGGTTCATCATAAATTAATTTAGATGCTTTTTCTTTTTGTGATATATCTGAACAGGGAAAGAAAACAAAGCTGTTTTTCACTTCTGACATTTTCTAGCTGTTTTTTTTTTCTTTTTTTTAACTTTCAGATTACTTATGCCAATGGGCTTGTTTTAAAATGTCAAGCTTGGCAATGCTGACAGTATTTTATGAAGCACTGAGAGTTTTATAAATGGCAAAGCTTTAAAAACTTTAGTTTACTCAGATGCAGGGATGAAATAGTAGACTGTGCATTTTTCTCCAAACAAATGGCATCAACAAGCTCAAACTGCATAAAATGTATATGTTTTTATCTTATTGTAAAATATTGGAATTTTTTTTCCTTTTCTTATATTCTTTTATTTTTCTCTTTATTTCTTAAAATGAATGCTTTGGGTGCAGAAAATGTCACTGCTTGTCCTTGCCCTTCCCCTGTTGCATGTTGAGGGAATGCCACAGACGTGTATGTATAGGAATATCTTATGGAATAGGATACTCAGATACTGTTGAACTCAAAAAATACCATCTGCTGTCTGTTCCCATAAGGGAAAAATTGCAGGCAACTCAGCAACTCACAAAATGCCCTTTTCTTGTAGGCCTCTTTTCTCTGTTTACTGGAACTGTCAGCTCTTCCAGATTTCTCACAAGATTCAGTCAATTTCTTGCTTAAATTTAGTTTCTAGAATCTACAGGGATCACACCACTGGATATCTCACCTTAAAGACAGAAAATACTTCTGTATCATAAATTTTTTTTTTTATAGCAGATCATTGAACATACCAATCCCAAGGCTAAAAAGCAAAAGCTTTGCAAATTAAAACAGTATGTAATTACATTTTACTTTTCAATATGTCATACTAATCTTCTGCATCAGAAGCCTGATTTATGATTTGGGATCAAACAAATGTTCTAATACTGAGGAAGCATCAAAGCTCAAATGGTAGAAGGTGGAATGGATGATAGCAGCACACTTAAGTTCCTACAGGACTTGTGCTCATCCTGCCAAAAAAAAAAAAAAAAGACATCGGGGGGATAGAGATCTCCATATATTTCTAAAAAGAACTCATAACATCACTATTAAGCTGCTGTACTAAAACCATATATTGTTTCCTGGTAAACAGAAAGCAGATAAAGTTTTCAAAAACATCTTTGCAACAAGCAGAGACCACTTCCTATTTAAAAAAAAAAACAGGGAAAAAAATGGCCATGACTCCTACAATATTTTAGCACCAAATGGCAACACTAAGAAATCAAGCCCACGAGACAATGTTTTCAACTTCAAAAGCATTTTTAAAACATAAAGTTCCCTACTATTTTTAATCACACAAGATGTCTGGTTTTGATTCAGCTGCGGGCATTCTCACTAAAAATTCAGCAAAAGTAAAAAATGCTTCAGATTCCTCACTGATGAAAGCTGTCTCAATGAGATTTTTTTAAAGTAACTTAGACTGCAGCAGAGTGTGAGAAGGAGACATACAAACCTCAACCTTCCTTACCTTGTAAGCAAGCCCCCACAAAGCTGGTCTTCCAATAAAGACACATTTTGCTCCCAGTGCCAGTGCCTTTAATACATCACTGCCTTTTCGTATTCCACCGTCTAAATAAACCTCAACTCTGCCTTGTACAGCCTCCACAACTTCAACCAGAGCATCAATCTGCAAAGAAGGAGGTTTCATGCTGAAAGTCAGCTTTTGATCCTGACACACAAGTGAGAAATGTGAACCAGACAGACAGTATGGAATAATTTACTAGCATATGTTCTCAAAATGATATGTAAAAACACATCACAAATAACTCAGTACCAAAAGCTGTAGAATAAAGTACAGTTCCATTTTAAATTTGCCAGATAGTTCCCTTTTTCCAATACTTTCTCTATGCTAGAATACTTTGATAGCATTCTGGTAAGTCACAAACTGTTTCATTTGCTTTCCATTTTTTTAAAGGATTTTAAAAATAAATTTTAATGGAAATAATTGTTGATAATATCATGCTTTCATATGAGGCAATAATGAACAACAAATATGTTGTGAAAAGGCTAATGTCCAATTCTGCCTCTTTATTTCCAACTCGCCTAATTTTAGTGACCATCTGTTGGAAGTCTCCTCAAGCCCCATAAAGCAGCTATTTCATTTACTATGTAGTGCAATCTACACGTCATTTCCTCCTGGCTAAGCCTCTTCATTCCCAAGATCCTTTCCATAGAGCAGAGCACCATGCAGAGATACTGGCTCTGGTCCCAAGGGCAATATAACCAGTGACATGACATTGTGCCAGACCTCATTAACCCTCCTCAGCAAGCTTAAATATCCCCTTGCTGTGATGTCTTACACTCTCTTACCTTCCTTTCATCCTTTCATGTTTAGGTAGAACAGATCTAACTAAGATTACAAAGGAGATTTCTCCAGTTGCTCTTTTTTTTTCCCCTCAGAATTTCAGGCTGAAATTTGTCTAGGAGTAGCTCGCCAAGCACAGTGGCAAGCCTTTTTTGCCAGACTTGATATGAAGAGACTGGCAAGGCTATGTTTCTGCTGGATTGTCTGTCTATGGAAAAAAAAATGTTTAAGATAGAAGAGCAGTTTAATATGGATGTCATGTCTATTATTATGTCTTTAGCATTTAGAACAAAATTTTCTTTAATACTGCTGTCCTTGATATAGCAGAGAATTCCCTGGTGCGTACTTTTATTTTCCAGAGTAAAATAAAGAGAATAAGTCACCAAAAATGGGTTGCTCTGCAGTACAAAAATGTAAAACAAACAATCGGAAAAACTGATCATTTACTGCCAGTAAAGCACAGGGAGAAAAAATGAAGCCCAATTAAAGCAGTGAAATACACATATGTCCTAACAACCTATTTTTTGGATGGATAAACAAATAGGGAATTTTCCCCAAGTGTGTTATCCTTCTGTTGACTCATAAAAGTCTTGAGTCTGTAAATACACATGCGGATCTCTCATTAAACCTAGCTGTATTGTTTGTGCATGTTTTGGCAAAGATTAATAATGAGAATACATTATACTCTCCTTTGTACATATTCAACTCCAGAGCTTCATTTTTTTCCTGATAGATTGCACAAAAAGTATGTGTGCACTGTACTACCTGATGAAGACATAGGCAAACCAACTTTTACTGTTAGACCAATTACTGACAGTGGTTTTTCTGCATTAATACGGACTCAGTGCTGCTTACAGAACCTCCAAAGAAACTGAGAAACTACTTGTGTGGGTAGCACATGCCAAGACATGCAGCTTACCAATTTAAAGCTGAAGGACATCTGCACATGCTCATGGACATGCAACAAACACAAAATCCACCAGAAGGTCGTATACAGCCATTCACATACAGACATCCACCTTAGCACAAGCATGCACACAACAAATACTCACAGGACATCAAGTGTAGCACTTACCGTGGCAGGTCCTCCATCCAGTTGCCTTCCACCATGATTGGACACAATAATACCCTGAGCTCCATGTCTTACTGCCAGCTCTGCATCTTCTTTAGTCAAGATGCCTTTAACGATGATAGGCAGATGAGTAAGGCTCTGCAGCCAGTGGATATCATTCCAGTTAATGGAAGGATCCAAGCTGTTGGGTGGGAGTCCATACTCAGAACGGTCATCTCCCTGCAGCCATGAAGCATGGAAATCTCATTCTAAGTTGTAATGAGGAGTTTAAGGGAGATCTAAAAAAGACTAATTAAACTTTCTAAACATCTTGTCCATGACCTCTGTGAAGAGTGTGTCATTGGGGGAGAGTCATAGAATCATTATGGTTGGAAAAAAACTTCAAAATCATCAAGTCCTACCATAAGCTATTCACCACTATGCCTGCTAAAACCACTTCCCTAAGTGCCTCGTCCACATGGTTCTTGATGGTGGCTCCACCACTTCCCTGGACATCCTGTTCCAATGCTTGACTACTCTTTTCATATAGAAATGCTAATGTCTAACCTGAACCTCCCCTGGTGCAACTCAAGGCCACATCCTCTTGTCAGTAGTTATTCTGTAGAAGAGATCGACCCCTGCCTCATTGCAACCTCCTTTCATGTAGAGAGCAATAAGGTCTCCCCTGAGCCTCCTCTTCTCCAGATTAAATAACCTCAGCATCCTCAGACATAAGGTCTGTGCTCCAGACCCTTCACCAGCTTCGTTGCCCTTCCTTGAACACACTCCATCACCTCAATATCCTTCTTATAGTGAGGGACTCAAAACTGAACACAGTATTCAAGGTGCAGTCTCAACAGCACTGAGTACAGGGGGACAATCACTTCCCTGGTCCTGCTGGTCACTGTTCCTGATATTGGCCAGGAGGCTCTTGGCTGCCTTGTCCCCCTGGGCACACTGCTGGCTTGTGTTCAACCAGCTATGGATCAACCCCCCAGATCCTTTTCTGCCACACAGCTCTCCAGCCACTCTGCCCCTAAACCTGCAGCGCTGCATGAGGTTGTTGGGACTGAAGTGCAGGAATCAGCACTTAGTCTTGTTAAACCTCATACAGTTGGTCTTAACTCATCACTCCAGCCTGTCCAGATTCCTCTGCAGAGGGATCAACTCTACCTACCCTCAGGCAGATCAACTCTTTCTCCCAGCTGGATGTTTTCTGCAGACTTGCTGAGGATGCACTCGATCCCCTTGTCCAGATCAACCATAGAGATATTAAAGAGGACCAGCCCCAACACTGACCCCTGGAAAACAGCACTCGTGACCAGTCATCCAAAGGATTTAATTCCATTCACCACTGCTCTTTGGGCCTGGCCATTCAGCCAGGTTCTCACCCAGTGAAGAGTCTGCCAGTGTAAGCCAATTGCTGCCAGCTTCTCCAGGAGAAGGCAGTGGGAGACTGTGTCAGAGGCCTTTACAAAGTCTAAGCAGACCATGACCACAGGCTTTCCTTCATCCACTAGAAGGGTCCCCTGGTCATAGAAGGAGATCAGGTTGGTGAGGCAGGATCTGCCCTTCATGATCACATGTTGGCTGGGCCTGATCCCCTGGTTGTTGCACACATGCTGTGTGATCCTCCTCAAGATGTTCTACTCCATAACTTTCCCCAATATCAAGGTCAGGCTGACCGATTTGTAGTTTCCCAGATCCTCCATCTGACCCTTCTTGTAGATGGGAGTCACACTGGCAAGTCTCCAGTCATCTGGGACCTCCTCTGTTGACCAGGACTAGTGATAGATCGGAAAGCAGCTTGGCAATCACTTCTGCCAGCTCCCTCAGAACCCTTGGGTGGATCCCACCTGGTCCCATAGACTTGTGAGTCTCCAAGTAGAGTAGCATGTCACTGAGTGTTTCCTCCTAAATTATGGGGGATTTCTTCTGCTCTCCATAGGTATCTTCCCCCAGCTCAGAGGACCAAGTATCTTGAGGAGAACTGATCTGGATGCTAAAGACTGAGGCAAAGAAGGCATTAATTACATCATTCTTATCCTCATGCTTATATTTTAAAAAGACTTGGAAATAAATTTCTTTCTAAGGAGGCTGGGCTGAGATTTTAAAGCTGGAATCCTGGTCAGTAGGAGGTCAAATTGGAATAGTATGGAACCAGAATGGGAGAAAAAATTCCCCAGATGTCAAGGTAAAAGATACTCGGTGTTTTTTTTCCCATGTGGTATATACCAGCACAGTGAATGAGGAAACCTCATCATTTTACAAACCTCAAAAGCTCCCTCCAAGTTCTTCAGGCTCATGTGTGGAGGAAGCCGGAAGCCATTACGGACATCATCACGTCTTTTGCCAGTGTAGGGCAGGTCAGCTGTGAGGACGAGGCCTTGGAAACCCAAGGCCTCTGCCTGTTGGACCAGCTTCTTAGAAACCATCCTGTTGCGGTGGATATAGAGCTGGAACCATTGGAAACCACCCGGGGCAGCCGCAGAGATCTCTTCCAGGCTGCTGGTGGAGTATGTGCTGGCAATGTAACAAACGTTCATGGCTTTGGCTGCTTTAGGAGATATTAACAGAGTCAGAATCAATGTTATTTGAATACCTATCCTAGGATTTGAAGTCCTATCAGGTACCCGTTACAAGATTTTTTCATATATGGTTAAGAGAGAACCTGCATGGCTATTTTATGTATATTCTACCAACATGGCATTCTACCAGCTGGCATACATGTCTCCGAGTTTAAAAATGGCAACTTTTACCATGCAGTGTTGTAGGATGATGGTTAAGAATACAGGAAAGGAAGAAATAATTCACCAAGTATTTTTTCATTTTGAAACTGATTTTTGAAAACAGCAGTTTATGATTACTACTACCTCACAGGAATGTGTTACCAAATGCAATCTGTTTATACGGAAACCCAAATGTGAGCAAAGGTATTCCTAGCGGTCAGCTATCCAGATTCACAACAGGAGTTTTTTCCCACAAGAAATTTACAGGCTGAGACCTATCCATCACACTACAAATCATCCTAAGAGCTCCTTATCATCCTCAGCTCCTACTGAGTTTTCCACAAACTCATTTTTGCTAGAAAGCAACAAAATGGAGTACCTCTTGCGGTGCTTTTCTCTCCATCAGGACATGCAAGCTGGTGGAAGCCTGTAGGGGCAATTCCTACAGGAAAGCTGATTTCAGTTCCCAGGAGCTTAGTCCTAATGTCCATCACAGACACATCACGCAGTACACGTGGCCGAAAACGAATCCTGTAAAACAACAGCAATAAAACACTCTTCAGTGATGTAGCTGCCCAATGGCTTTTCTGATTTTGATGTTTACCCAACATAACATAGGAATCTGAGCTGGTAAACAAAGCATAGTCATGTGAAAATGATTCTTCCTTTCTGTTTGCTTTCACAGGATATTTCAGCCAGCTGTAACTATATTTAATCTCATACTCCCATTCATGAGCCACAATACATCATTCTTGCACATCCCAATTCTGCTCACCAGTCTTTACATCCCTTGTTCTCTCTGTGCCCCCTCCCCACAAATTATCCCAGGTCTCTGTCTTCCACTACATCATTCTCTATGTTCATGGCACAGTATTTGCCCTCACTCTCTACAGCACAGTTTCCAAATCCCATAGTATTCACACTTAGGATTCCTGCAGGCAACCACACACTCTCCATTACATCTCACAGAATGCAATGGTTAAGGTTGGAAGAGACATCTAGAGATGATCTAGTCCAACCCCCCTGCTCCAGCAGGAACACCCAGAGCATGTGGCACAGGGCTGCATCCAGGCAGGTTCTGAAGACCTCCAGAGAAGGAGAGTCCACAACCTCCCTAGGCAGCCTGTTCCAGGGCTCTGTCACCCTCACAGGAAAGAGGTTCTTCCTCACATGCAGATGGAACTTTCTGTGTTTCAACTTACACCCATTTCCCCTTGTCCTATGTGGTGGCCTAATGGCCACCACTGAGAAGAGTTTGGCCCCTTCCTCCCTACATTCGCCCATCATGTACTTATATACATTAACCAAATCCCCTCTCAGCCTTCTCTTCTCCAGAGAAAATAGGCCCAGCTCACTTAGTCTCTCTTTGTATGAGAGATGTTCCATTCCGTTAATCATCTTTGTTGCCCTCCACTGGACCCTCTCGAGAAACTCCACATCCCTCTTATACAGGGGAGCCAGAACTGGACCCAATACTCCAGGTGTGGCCTCCCCAGAGCTGAGGAGAGGGGCAGGATCCCCTCCCTCCACCTGCTGGCAACACTGCTCCTGATGCAGGCCAGGATCCCATTGGCCTTCTTGGCCACGAGGGCACTGCTGCCTCATGGGTAACTTGTTGTCAGCCAGGACTCCCAGGTCCCTCTCTGTGGAGCTGCTTTCCAGCAGGTCGACCCCTAATCTGTACTGATACCTGGGGTTATTCCTCCCCAGGTGCAGGACCCTGCACTTGTCCTTATTGAACCTCATGAGTTTCCTTTCTGCCCAACTCACCAGCCTGTCCAGGTCCCTCTGGATGGCAGCACAGCCCTCCGGAGTGTCGGCCACTCCACCCAGCTTGGTGTCGTCTGCAAACTTGCTCAGGGTGCACTCCGTGCCCTCGTCCAGGTCATGGATGAACAGGTTGAACAGCACTGGGCCCAGTACTGACCCCTGAGGGACACCACTGGCCACAGGCCTCCAACTGGACTCAGCCCCATTTATCATCACCCTATGGGCTCTGCCATCCAGCCAGTTCTCAGTCCATCTCACTGTGCACTCGCCCAGTCCATACTCCTGGAGCTTTCCTAAGAGGATATTATGGGAGATGGTGTCGAAAGCCTTGCTGAAGTCAAGGTAGAAAACATCCACAGCTCTCCCCTCATCCATCCAGCCAGTCATCCCATTGTTGAAGGCTATCAGGTTTGTCAAACGTGACTTCCACTTGGTGAATCCATGCTGACTACTCCTGATCACCTCCTTCTCCTTGACATGCCTAGAGATGCTCTCTAGGATGAGCTGCTCCATCACGTTACCAGGGATGGAGGTGAGGCTGGTTGCACTGTAGTTGTCTGGCTCCTCCCTCTTGCCCTTTTTGAAGACTGCAGCGACGTTGTTTTTTTCTAGTCCTCCGGCACGTCCTCTGCTCTCCATGACCTCTTGAAGATGACGGAGAGCAGCTGAGCAATAACCCCTGCTGGTTCCCTCAGCACTCTTGGGTACATCCCATCCAGGCCCATAGATTTATGGGTGGCCAGTTTGCCTAAGTGATTCCTAACCCAATCCTCCTTATCCAGTGGAAGGTCTTCCTGTTGTCTATTTATCTTTCTTTTACCTGGGCTCTGTAGTTCTTGGGGACTAGCCCTTAGCAGTAAAGACCGAAGCAAAGAAGGCATTTAGTACCTCTGCCTTCTCTGCATCTTCCATTGCCAAGGCGCCCTCCCCATTGAGCAGCGGGCTAACATTTTCCCTGCTCTTCCTCTTGCTGCTGATATATTTATAGAAACCCTCTCACTCTATTATAGGCACTTATTCTCTTTTCTTTCAAACCATGTCATACCATTTGCCTGTATCCTCAATGTCCATTATGCCTCATACAGTCTGTTTCTTATTTTGGCTAGCATCAGAGGGTGCAGTGAATGTCATAAAGGTAGGTGCATTCTGCTTGGGGATCAGTCAGAGAGGACAAGATATTTTTTCTTTGCTTGTGAAAGCTGAGCATGAATGCCACACATACTTGCACACAAACATAATTTAACAGATTCCAGTATAATAACCCTCACTTCCCCTTCACATTACCTTTTATATGCCAGGATATTGTCATCCCGAGTGGTTCCATCATCTGCTCCCGCTGCAAAAAAATCCCAGGTGGTCTTAGGTAAATACTTTTTAGCATAAACTTCAAAGTCTGACAGACACACCATAGCCATTTCAGAGAGAGACTGTGAGAACCCTGGAAGAAAAAAGAGATAATATGGAGCAGAAATTAAATATGGAACTGTCATTCTCTCTTCTATGTGCTCTAAAGTCACTTAATGCAAACTTTGACTTCTTGGCCTTGAGCTTGCTGTTATCATATCAGAAATGTAAATCTAGATTTAAATTCCTCATTAGCTCTCACAAATCATAACAAAATTAGCAAAAGAAAGGAACTTTGGAGGTTATCTAATCCAGCCTGCCTCCTAAAAGAATCTGGAAAAATGTTTCAAAGTTTGCATGGTACAGCTGCTGGCTGAACTTGGTCTGGGGAATACTGTGTCACACACAAAAATCAGTCACATAGGTGACACATTTCTGAAACTCTCAAGTCTTGATCTTGATCTTTCGAGTGATAACTCCACGATGACTTCACTCCAAGAACTTCGCTCCAAGAAGTTCCACCATAATTAAAGGAATTCCAGGAAGAATCTGCTCTTTTATTTCTTAAGATCTCTCTGGAATCAGAATTTCTTTCTCACTTTTAGTTAATGCTTTACTGGACTATGATTACCCTCTGTCCACAATTATTTCTTCTGATCTTGATTAAAACTTGCCATTTATCTCTGCCCTAGTATGAGAAAAACTTGCTGATCCAAAGAATAAGAGGAAACTTGTATAGCTGTGTTTCCGTTCTGCCTTAATGAACAGAAGCCTGAGGAGGACAATTTAGGTCTTCCACTTCAGCAATCATACAATTTTATCACAAACTTCTTTAAAAAATTTTAAACGTCTTTTAAAAAAGCAAGTAAACACAGAGTGTACATCTAACCTGCTCCAGCATGAAGGCATTGTAAAGCTATGTGCAGTCTCTGAGTCAGAGCCAAGGCTACAGTTGTGGAAAAAATATTTGGTAAGAATATTCATTTTTCTTGGACACTAAATAAATAAACAAATATCCCTTACTGTTCACTTTCCATGCTGCGGCATTCATGCCTGATAAGGGAAGAATATACAAAATTTGGAGAAACCATGGAAGAACATGAACAAAAAGCAGATTTTACAACATGAAACATGATTCAAAGAACAATTCTCAGTCTGTCTAGGAACAGAAGTGACATTGTATCACCCAAATTTTCAGTCAAATTAATACAAATCTTTTATGCTTGTGAAACAGCCCGGACAACATAACTATGCAAGTGGATGTCTAGGTGTAAGGAAATATGGTATACTACACTGTATAAAACATAGGAAAAAAATAATTTTGCTAAATAGATTCTTATAATTACTTTTGCAACTTTTATTAAGATAGATATTTTGTAGTGTGGAGTTTTAAAACAGCTGTGGTTTTCATCTTTCTAAAAATAGCCAGGAAGAAGTAAATATTCTGGCTCTCAAGACTAGCCTTTCACAACAGATTATCAGAGATTTCAAGTTTCACCAAAATGAGTCCAATGTTTCCGATGTTTGTACTTTTAACACAGAAAAACACATAGGCTATGCACATAAATCCAGTTTGTCAAATTGTAAACATGGATATGTCTCTCTGATGTTTTACACAAATTACTCTGTAACTACACTTGAAAAACAGAATCATAATTCTATGCTAGCAAAGAGCTCAGATAATGGAATCAACTGTAAGAAAGACAAAGAGGAAATGTGACTGATATTTTAATTAGTAGTTTGTCTCTTCTAATGACAGTTTGGTGTCAGGATGGTAAAAATATCCCAAGGCCTGTCTGAATGTCTTTATTACATCAACCACTGTTGATAGCACAAGTCTTCATATATCAGAAAATACCATATACAACATATCATGAGTTCCCCTTTCCCTTGATGTAGGAAAGATCAGCAAGCACACACACACACAAAAAAATCTTTAATGGCAGAATAAATAGTAATCATAAATGACCCAGGTCCAAGCTTCATTGTCCCTCAGTTAAGACTTACTTTGGGTTTCGGAGTGAGCAGCAGAAGATGAGATCTTCTGTTTCAAGTTAGCCTACAAACAGGATGCATAAGCTAAGTAGCTGCTGTTTTTTTTTCTGGAGTCAATAATCAACCACAAGCAATCAAAGCTCAACCCTGCAGCAAACTTTGCACTGCTTGTGTAAGACTGACTTTGTTTTGCTATCAGATCATTAAAAGGTCCTTCCAAAAATATCTACTTTGTCGTCAAAGTCGTTGCTTGGAAAAGAGCACTGGAACTGTGCTGTTTGGCAGTGACTAAAGGCTATGTATTCACTCAGGGAAGCAACAACATCTGTAGGGTTTTGACTAAAATTGTCCCTGAGGATGGCAGCAGAGGGGGAAGCTGGGCATCCTGTTCAGATAAGGGCGGGCAGCGCTCCCTGCTCCTTGCTCAAAGCAGGAGAAGGAGTAGAGGTGAAACACCATTTCCATGTGAGGACCTCAAGAAACACCAGGTTTGCACTGAAGGTGCACTGAAATAATACAGGATTTCAATAGAGTGAAATAGTAGATGTGAGATGCTTGTGCTTTAGCAAAGCTTTCTTTAATGAAATAGAAAGAACTTGCAGGAAGGAGTTGACCATTCCTGCATAAGAAGAGGACCACAGCTGTTTTAGTACCAGTATCATTTTGATTTTTTTTTTTTTTTTTTTTTTGTGGGTCTGGTGAAAATCTACTAGCTTTATCAACCAAACTGTATGCATCAAGCCTACTGCATCAAGCCTACTGCACATTCTTGCAGGTCTATGAGGAAAACTAATGGGTCTACAAAAGAAGTCTTTTGGATTTTTTGCCTTCGTCCAGTTCCTGAACAACCAAAGTTGCTCCTTAAATCTATTGGCAATTTTATAATGAATATGCTACAAAGCCCTCCAAAATGTGGACCATAGGCAATGTGCATTATTACAGCCCTCAGCTACAGAGCCTTGAATCTTTACCACCTTTTAGAAAACAGACTTTTTGTATTCCCTGCAGTATATGAACCCTTTGTAAAGTAAAAGTAAAGTATCTTTTGTGTTCCACCATTTTTAAATGGATGTGAGTGCTCCCATGATCTGCACTTGCAGATTTTCTCCTTTAGCTGCTTATCCAGTCATCTCCCAGGAGCACTTGTTTATCCTTTTCTTTTCCTTCTGCTTGGGAATGGTTGAGATTTTACTGTGCTCCCTTCCTACCCCTGCTAAGCACTACAAACCAAGATGGAGCCACCAGCAGATTTATAATATTGATATAAATTGAAAGATAAGAAAATTTAATCCTGGACAGTTTTATTTGTCCTCTGATTTTTAGACTACTTTCTACCTACAAGCATGAGAGCTTTGAACTTAGATTTTTACTACTTTTTTTTTTTAAAACCTGTGATACCAGGTGCAGAACCTGAGGTGAAGATTTGTGAGAACATTCCCAGAGTTCTGCCAGCATTATCCTCCCAGCTGAAAGAATGCAGTTGAGGCAGAGGGTAAGCCAAAGAACCAGGAAAGAACTGAAAGCTGAACATCATTACAGATTGGTATCCCCAAGGCCAGTCTGCTCCAGGAATGAAGATCTTATGTTCTTGACAGCAGAAATTCTAGGCGACTGATACCTTTTCTTTTTTCACCTGTAGCCAACTTTAGCAAACTGTAGATAGATACAGTTTTCCATTTGATTTATTCATAAGACTTGGCCCAGGCACTACTTGGCCATCTCTACCATCATCTTCTGAAGCTTTTCTTAAATTCTGCCTTCAAAGCTTATTATCTGCTGGTGGCAGCACGGTAAAGCTATTTTCTTTGCAAAAGAAACTAGCAAGGCTTTCAGATCTTGATATTTGTACGCACACCTAGCTATATGTTCTCTTTCCCTTCTTCTAAAGAGTTCTCTTTCCTGCCCAGGAAAATTGTATCAGTATAACAACCTTTCTATCACTTGAAAGTGGTAGGATCAGCAAAATACCATCTGCCTCTGCACTACACAGGACAGAATGCAACCTTGAAAAGAAAGTCTGGGTCCATTCTCCTCCACTAGATGTCGGCTTTGTGTCACATATAGCAATTTAGGCTGCTAATAAAAGGAAATAAAAATCAATCCTTATTGGGCTGCAAGGCACTATGGCCTTAAACTGGAATGGTCCTATCCCTACAGTGCCTGTTCTTATGTTTGGAAAGTTTCACTCTCAGTGTTTTATTCGTAACATTTTCTGGTGCACAGCATAGCAATAAACATAGTTACATCTAGCACAGCTTGATCTTTGTTTCAGCCTACAAGTTATCTACAAGGTTCTTCATCATGTGTCTCACTCTTGTTGATCTTATTACTTCCCTACTTCAAGGATGCACACAGCAGCCAACTCACTGAACTATAAAGTTTATGGTTTCTTGGTTATCGTCATTTCATACTAATTTAAAAGGGCTGTGACAACTGTATTTTGGATTGGGAGAAAGAGGAAAAATACCTGCTTTTGTACCATAGATTGAAGGAAATTACATCTGGAGATTTTGTGTTCTTAGCAATGGACTAAATTCTAAGAAGCAATGGCTTCTTGTTCCATAAGTAGTATTTTCTCCGGTATTAGTAATACTTCTGAGCTAGCTGTGAAGCTCTTAATTTCTAAGGGAATCAAAATTACACAGAAAACATTATTTTTTTTAACAGTCTATATTATATGCTTAAACAGACATATTTTAAAAGTTCTGGAGCCTAGAGCCATTGAAGATGAGTGAAAATATATATTTCTATAAACTTCACTGCAATTCTTGTGGCTTTTTTTTTTTTTTGAGAGAACTGAGAAAAATAAAATAGGAAATGCTGATAAATCTGGGTCAGTCTTCCAGGTGGAGTGTCAGGCAGTCAATGGCCAAAGCTTGATTTCTGCACAGTTCTGCATAGATTCGCACAGCTGGAGTTTCTTAGCTGCTTTTCATATTAACATAGTTGAAGACTCATGAGTCCAAGCACAAAGATCATGTTCCCATTACAATCACAACAATCATTACTCCAGTTGGTTATATTTGTTTGTTTTTCATAGCTGGCTCACTACCATGGCTCAAGCTGATCTCTCACTGCTGCATCCACTAGTGGCAGGTTCATTTGGGGACTTTTGAAAACTGTGGTGAAGAACCTGGTGAAGGATAAAGGCATAGCTCTGTGTGATGTAAACCAGATGGCATAACTATGCAGTCCAACTGATTTTTGCTTATCAGATGTGTTTCTTGGGCATATGCCCCATGCTTGCAAGGAAACCTTTTTTTCCTTGTATGTTATTCATGCAAGAAAGTTCTCCCAAAATTAAATACTTAAATAGTCACCCCTCTATTATAGGTGGAGATGGCAACTAGTCTTACATTTAAGGTTGCCTAACACTTTTGATTATAAGATCCAGTTTTCAGTTGCTTTTAATTTAGTCGTATTTTAATCAGACAAGGCTGAAATTTCCCATCTCTGATCTCTGTGCTTGGCTGAATTTTTGGGGGAATGTTTCACTAAAAGCAGGTCAGCAATTTCCAAGAATGAGGTTAGAGGAAAATATAGTGGTTGGACCATGCTGGAAATGTCTTACAGTGAGTGGTTTTAACTGCAAGAGTTTAGGCAGTTCAGTGTATGATGTAGGGGGCTGAAAATGGCAGGGGCTGATCCCTGAGGGCATTAGCTCCTACTTGCTGGCCATATGAAAAGCCATCCTAGCTGTAAATCACTGCAGCGCTCTGCTTGCACATGCTTAGGAAAGATTGTCTGAAATCCAGATGTTATCTTTATTGAAGGTTTGTCTAGTACAGAGTGTTCCTCTACCCCTGGCCACAGGAACTCAGAGAGCTCCAAATACTAGCAGAGGGCTGCTAGAGAGCTGCTTCTCCCGTGTCATCTATGCTTGGATTCAGCAAGCTACTTCAACAGGGCTGGTGGGGAGAAGAGAGAGAAACAAAATGACTCAAAAAAGAAGTTACAGGGCAGCATCTGTCACTCAAATATGAGTTTTACCACAAGGTAGCTGAATTTCACTTTGCCAAATGCATCAGCATTAGAGAATGGATCTAAAGTAGGTCAGGTATAACTAGCATGCACTAGGATAGGACATATCTCTGTGTACCAGGGAGCATCATGCATAGGTCTGCTAACCAGTGACAATTGGGCAAAGCACTTTGAAATGCTAGGAACAGAAAATAGATTCGGTCTGGAAATAAATATTCAGGCTAGTAATGGAAATCCAGTTAATTGCTAGCCCAGCTTCCCTGCTTCCAACATGGAGACAAATTTCTAGTTCACTAGATGTGAGGGGTTTTATGCCATAATAATACACTGTATGGTGTGGACTTGCCATATCCCTCATCTAAGTTTCACCACTGATCTGCCCCAAAGAACAAACCTGAGTAGAATGCTGATACCTTTGGGAGTGCCTGAGTTGAGTCACCATGAAGCTGATTGTGCAGAAATGATAAGGATTCAGAACAGTTTGAGATGACTAGCACACTGGTCCTAACCTCTTTATGCTCTGGCTCCTTGACTGTGAAGCAGAAATGTTTTTGCTTCTATGTACAGCACCAGTTCAGGACCGCTCTTTCTTCACTGGGCTCTGCAGGTGCTAATAGACCTCAATATCCTGAAATAAGGCATTCTAAATCCATAAACCTGTTGAGAAAACTGTGCAATGGAGTCTTATCCCAATTGCCTCATATTGTCACTGCAACACTGTACCTGGAAGATCATCTTCTTCTAGAGAGTTCACATCAGAAAACATGATGATCCTTTCCTTGTATGAGGCATGTGGAACCTTTCTTTCCTCTAATAAGGGGAAGAGAAACAAGCATAGCAGGCTTTCCAAACCACGGGCTGAATTTCCTATTTCATCCCCAGCCAAGCCATGGCAGCATCTTGCAGCTGAAAACTGCTTTGATGTGAGGAAGTTGCCACCTTCTGTACCACATAGGTCTTGACCTCCTTGGATGTGGCAGTGCACACTTGGAGTGCAGTATTACGTGCACTCCAGCTCTCCCAAGCTGAAGCAGCAACCTCAGGCATAGCCAGTGGCTGTTCTAATTTATGCTGGGACTGGAAACAGCACTGAAATA